AAGAACTTCCTGCGCCATGGCAAGCAGGCCCGCCAGAACGCGGAGCCCACGACCAATGTCTCCAATGTCCACGCCCAGTCGCAACATCAACGGTACAACCAGCACCCGGACCCCGTACATCATGGCATCTCGGAGCCGGTGATGGACCACAAGCCGCTCCAGAACCACGCTGCCCCCCATGGCGACTACTCCGTCGGCGCTGGCGCTGGCGACAACCGCAACATTGCCGCCCAGGCAGGCGACGCCGCCGCGCACGCCGCCCAAAAGGAGCACAAGAAGCAGGCCGCTGCCAAGGGCGCCGGCGTCGACCCCCAGGTACTCGAGCGCATCGTCGCCGAGGAGCGCGAGGCCAAGGGCAAGCTGCCGAGGTATCCCGGCCTCGAGCGATGGACGCTTCTCGAGAAGATGGGCGACGGCGCCTTCAGCAACGTCTACCGCGCACGAGACACGACCGGCCAGTGGGACGAGGTCGCCATCAAGGTCGTCCGCAAGTTCGAGATGAACTCACAGCAGGTTAGTATTGCCCCTCCAGCCCCCTTCCTCCCTGCCCATTTCCTAGTCACCCCTATCCTACACGTTGAACAGTTGGGTGTTTTTGGACGTTACCAACGCGAGGCCGGTGTAGGACAAGCATGTGCATCCGGACTTCAAGACGCCCAAAGCAGCCGAGGTGCGATAATATAACCCCCGATGCTCGACTCAGCATCCCCCTTCACGACGGGCTTAAAGGGCAGACACTAACTGCCCTATAGAGAGCGAACATCCTCAAGGAAGTACAGATTATGCGCCAGCTCGACCACCCCAACATCGTCAAGCTCATCGACTTCTCCGAGTCGCGGCAGTACTACTACATTGTGCTCGAGCTGTGCCCTGGCGGTGAGCTGTTCCACCAGATCGTCCGTCTGACGTACTTTTCCGAGGACCTGTCCCGCCACACCATCATCCAGGTGGCCAAGGCACTGCAATATCTGCACGAGGAGGCAGGTGTTGTCCACCGGTACGTTCTTGTCGATGCCAGTCACGATGCCAAGCATAATTACTGACGTCATTCACAGAGACATCAAGCCTGAGAACCTTCTCTTCTACCCCACACCATTCATCCCCACCCGCAACCCAAAGCCGCGGGGACCGGACGATGAAGACAAGGCCGACGAGGGCGAGTTCGTCAAGGGCAAGGGCGCCGGTGGTATCGGCCTCATCAAGATTGCCGACTTCGGTCTCAGCAAGGTCATTTGGGATACGCAGACCATGACACCGTGTGGTACTGTCGGTTACACCGCCCCTGAGATTGTCAAGGATGAGCGCTACTCCAAGTCCGTCGACATGTGGGCGCTGGGCTGTGTGCTCTACACGCTGCTCTGCGGTTTCCCTCCATTCTACGACGAGTCTATCCAGACCCTCACAGAGAAGGTCGCCCGCGGCCAGTACACATTCCTGTCGCCATGGTGGGATGACATCTCCAAGTCTGCACAGGATCTCGTCTCTCATCTGCTGACCGTCGACCCCGAGAAGCGCTACGACATCAACCAGTTCCTCAACCACCCATGGATACGTGAAGCCGACGAGCCTACCTACTCCGCTTACGACGCGCCACCGCTCGCCACACCCGCTGCCAAGAAGGAGCGCCTCCAGCCGGACTTCTCCCACCTCGAGTCACCGGGTGCCCGCCGCATGGACTTCCGTTCGCCTGGTGCCGTCAACCTGCGAGAAGTGTTCGATGTCAGTTATGCTGTACACCGACAAGAAGAGGAGGGCAAGCGGAAGAAGCAGTTCAAGCAGGGCTACCGCGGCGCCAACGCCATGAACTCGCTCAACGCTCTCGACGAAGGTGAGGATGATGACGAGTACGCCGCCGAGTCTGCACCATACGACCCAGCGTCGCAACATCCACCTGCGAAGCTTCCCAAGTCTCAGGGCGCCGATGTATCCGGCATGGAGCAGAAGATGCGCAACACCACACTATCCGCTGCCGCTCAAGCCCGCCAGCAACAACAAGCACAACCGCGACAGCAAGAACGCGGCTACGGCCAACACTCCCCAGCTGTTGCCGCCGCGGCTAAGCGCCAAGTCAGGAACAAGGGTGCGTTTGAGCTCAACATGGACAGCTCGACATTACTCGGCCGCCGCAACAAGAAGGGCCCCGAGCCCAGCGGCCTGAGGAACAACATCTCCGTCCAATGACAATCCTCCCTTGCGAAGGATTGGTGAGACGGTGATGAGAACTGTGTCATGATGGCGTTTTTGCGTTTCCTTAATCACTCTTTTCCTGCCCTTCCCCCGGTTCTCTCTACGAATTTTGGTTATATCATGTATGCGAGCTTTGTCTGTGTTTCTCCTCTCATGGCATGGCTTTACGGTCTCTTGTCTGTCCCCCGGGATGATGGACATGGAGAAAGGAGAAGAGAGGGGTTTAGGCATAGTTTATGAAGCTTTTGGCATGGCGATGGATGGATGATAGTAACGTGCGATGTGGCATGGTTGTCCATGTAGCATGAATGATAATGTTTGAAAACGATGACGATTCCCACGGTTGAATACTAAAGGTTACGTGATGAATTCATCGTCTCGTTACTGATGGAGAAGATGTAGATGTTCAGCGAATCAAGGTGCGATACTCTCAACGTCGGTTCGATTATAGAGGTCTACTACGTATTTAAGAGTACGGTTTGACGAATACACAGATTGTAAAGAATCAGAGAGTCAGGATATTTTGCATCTTTACTACTACCATTATAAGTCTATGTGGGCATTAACTAGAGTGTTTTATTGCGCGTAAGAGTTCAAAAACTCTTGTGTATCTGGCGCGCTCGATAGTAAGGCGTGTTGGTCTTAATCCTATGACTAGGCAATACTCCATTTTCGTGTATACCTGTGCTCTGCAAGCCGCATTCAAGATCGCCTTGCTCGCTTCGCCGATCTATGGTCTGGCTCTAGCGCTTCTTCCTCTTCTTCTTCTTCTTGTTCCTCCAGCCTTACTTGCTCTTTCCACGCAGCCATTAGGAACGCGCTAACATCTTCATCGAAATAGGACCAATCGTCTGGTCGAACGAATTCTTCCATATCGCACGCTATGGCCGAGCCACGGTTCACCAATTGATCGTATTCCTTAGGCCGCTCATCTTCATCCATCTTCGTCAACTCAATTGCAGCCGCCTCACTTAGTCGATCGTAAAGCTTTGATAACTTCTCGTAGTACGGTGTTATAATTCCGGCGTCAAACCTCGTAGTCGAGTACGTATGTCGCAATATTGGATGGCGAAGCTCAGTGCAGACGTTCATCTCGTAGAAGAGAGTTTTATGGTCGTCCCAATCTGGCAGGTCAAGACGAAACGTGGAGGCCTCAAGAACGGCGTCTGGAACAGGAGATGGCGTGACACCTTCTGTGTTTAGAGGCATTACCCAGGTGTGTTGATCTCCTACGCGTCGAAGCCGAGTGAGCAGCTGGCAATCTGTCGGGCGAATCTCATCGTGCGCGTTCCAATGTACGGTCTTAATCTTCATGCCACGTAGGCTGAAGAGTCTCAGTTCATATGGATCCATCTCCTTGATATTACGCAGCAGAAACATCTCCCGCCTGACGAACGTGGTATGAGGTAATAGATGGTATGCCTTGTTCCAGGTGATGAATGTTAGCATTCCTGTCGCATACGCGTCTTGCAAGACCATGTGTGCAAGAGACTGCGTCTGACATTTGGTAATCACGACTTTCAGCTTGCGCCCCCCGGGTCCATCCTTCTCATATACGTCTTCTGACAATACCTCTCCGTCGCGGTATCGATTGGGGGCTTCTGCGTTGGTTTCATCTCGCACGTAGTTTTCAGCCACCAGGTATCGGGTCATAGCATTGACCTCTTGACCGACATATAGATAGATACAGTCGAAACGAGGAAGCCCGGCGAAGAGGCAATAGGCGAAGGGGCCGCCAATAAGAGCGTTGCAACGAGCTTGTAACGAGCGGAAGGCTTTTGTGTTCCGAAAGAACGGCTGTAATGTAACGTCGATGTTGAATGTCCCGCTCAGGAGCTTCTCGTTGATATTCTTGTTGATGCTCTTGCTTGTCAACATCAGAGCGATTCTCTCCAACGGGCCCAGCGAGGCCATTATAGCATCCTGGATGGGGGCAAATCGAGTGCTCAGCAGATCGAAGAGAGTGACGCTGGTGGAGCTGGTGGAGCTGGTGGAGGCGCCCATGGTGCCTGAATCTGAAATGCGGTGTGGTTGATTCTTGGTGATATTCGGTGGAGGAGTAGAATGGTGGGCTGTTTTCTGACGAAAGTCGCAATAGTTTATAACTGATGAGGGGTTTGACGTGAAGTGAAATGCAGCAGCACTAAGGCTATTGCTGCCTTCCATTCTATTGTGCAATCCGCGGAGGTAGTGGTGCGAGCATTTCACCGCAGTAGCATTGTGTTGAGTACTGGCGTACGTAACCCCTAGGGCCTTTTATGCGAGATTGACAAAGCAGCTAATCTATGCATGTAGCCTCTAAGGTTACCTATAAAGGCTTTAAAGTTACTTAGGCAAGTCTATGTAGCCGCTAGACGTCGTTACAAACTCTAAGCGCAGTACAATACCGTAGGTATCGCCATTAGATTATTGCTGAGTACGTGAGGTTCTGACGTGAATTCCCCAGAATGAGTTAACAATGGTACCTACCTGGCGCACCTGCCATTCCGACTACAATCACGAACTTTTTGACCGAACTAAGAAGGTGCGACTACAACAACATAACAACACTCAGAAGACACACGCTGTTGATCTTATCTCAAATGTATTAATGATATATATACTTCTCCCCTTCTCCTAAACCGACATAACAACAGAAGACTCATATTCTTGCGAACGCGTATGTATAAATCTTCATCCTGTCTTCGTCTCCTTACCGAGCCATTTCAATCCAGATTACCCTGATACATGCGCAAAACAAATCCAGGTATCTTCCCAACGTATCTACAATCCTATCCTTATTACGCCGAAACCATCACACTCTCCAAGAATACCTACCGCCTCGGCGCAATGCCCGCAGAGCTCAACGCAGACAGAGGACCACCTCCAGTAACAGGCGTCTGAGCCCCTGTGACAGGCGTCGCAGGTGCAGGCGTAGGTGCGCGAGAAGGAACGTTGCTCCTGTTGTGTGCCATGTGCGCCTTGACGAGATGGCCCGCACACAGAGCGCTGTTGAGCGACAGCTCACCCGCCAATACACCAGCGGCGATGACACGGGCAAGTTGCCTGGCGTTGTCACCAGGTGATGTGGGGTGAGCGCCTCGTACGCCGAGGAGATCGAGCATAGCGGATTGGGGCTCGAGGATGGTTCCGCCGCCGATGGTGCCGACTTCGATGGAGGGCATGGAGACGGAGATTTGGAGGTTGCCGTTGACACTAGACATGTCAGCTGTGAATCTGATATCGTACATAAGGATATAACTTACTTGTGCATGATGGTGATGCAGTTAGCACTCTCGACGACCTGCGCAGGATCTTGACCGGTAGCCAAGAAAATGGCAGCGACAATATTCGCCGCGTGGGCGTTGAAACCACCCATAGCACCGGCCATAGCTGATCCAATGAAGTTCTTTGAAATGTTCATCTGGACGAGATCCTCAACCTCGCACTTCAGCACCGACTTCACGACAGATCCGGGGATCATGGCTTCGGCGACGACACCCTTGCCACGACCGTCGATCCAGTTGATGGCGGCGGACTTCTTGTCTGTGCAGTAGTTACCCGAGACAGTCACTACACGCATGTCTTCGAAACCACAGTCGGTTGCCATGACGGTAAGGGCGTGCTCGACACCCTTTGAAATCATGTTCATGCCCATAGCGTCACCGGTGGTGGCCCTGAAACGGACGTAGATGTTGGTGCCTGCAATAGCAGACTTCATAGACTGAAGCCTGGCGAAGCGGGAGGTCGAGTTGAATGCGTCCTTCATCGTTCTTTGGCCTTCTTCCGAGTCGAGCCAGATCTTGGCCGCACCAGCGCGTGTCAGGCTGTCGAATCCGATACAAGGTCCGCGGGTCATACCGTCGCCAGTAACGACAGTAACAGCACCGCCGCCGGCGTTGATAGCCTTGGCACCTCGGGAGGTGGAGGCTACGAGCACACCCTCAGTCGTTGCCATGGGAAGGAAGTAGTTTTGGCCGTCAACGAGGATAGGTCCAGCGACACCGAGAGGGAGGGGAAGGTAACCGACAACGTTCTCACAGCATGCACCGTGGACAAGATCGTAGTTGTAGTCCTTGTATGGGAGGAGGGAGCGTTCCAGGAGAGTTGAGGTTTCGCGGGTAGCGTGGGTACGTGAGACGAGACCACGGCGGATCTTGACAGCGCGGGTCTTGTCACCGAGTGTCTTCTCCAAAGCGTAACCGGGAATCTTGCCCTTGAGTGACATTTCGATGAGCTCTTCGTCAGTCATCTTGGGGGCTTGCTTTTCCTTGATCATCATTTCGAGAACCTCGGCAGCACGGTTTGGCTGTCTTTGCTGTTCTTCCGAAGGACCAATAGGGAGCACTGGCGTCTGCGGTACGAGCTGAGTAAGTGGCTGCAGACGGGTATCCTCAGGGCCAGGTGTGCGGGGCGGCGTAGGCATGTGCATTGAAGGCACGCGGGGGGTTCCAGGCACAGTAGGGGCTCCATCCTGAACTTCTGAAGGGGACGCTGGGGCAAGTGGCTGGTGAGGTTCCTTGATGGTCCAGCGGGCGGCGTTGAATAGGTAGCCGTTCAGGACAACGCTCATGACAAGCGCAAGAACGATCCATTTGCTGAGGAAAGGGTCTTCCAAGCTCTTCAGTACTCCGTCGACAATGTGCGTGCTGATGTTGCTTCCGAACGCGAACTCGTTGTTGGTGATGGACGGCTCAGCGTAGTGAATAGACGGGAATTCGAGCTCGTACTTGATGGGCATGAGGATGGTGACAATGGTAGACGTGGCGGTAGCCTTGGCCTGCTCGTAGATGTGGTCCAGTCCGCTTCCAGCAACCTTGAAGGGATCCAGCGGGGGAGTGGCACCGACACCAGCAACGTGAGCGACCTTGCTGGGAGCAAGACCGAAGCGGAGGGTGACGACGTTGAGAACGTTGACTAGGATAAATCCAGCGACCATCAGAATCTTGAACTTGGGCACGGTAATCTTCTTTCCAAAGACAGTCGTCGTGTGGTTGGCGACCTGTACATCGCGTGCGTTGGGCCAGTCGTTGTTGCGAGCGACATTCTCAGCGACCTTGCCGTCGACACCGTCATCCTCAAGAGCCCTGCGGAGAGCCACATGACGCTTGATTCGGTTGATCTCGAGCTTGATGGTGAGAATGGCGGTGTAGAAAGTGAGCAGCATCAGGGCGTCGAAGAACAGGATCCAGGCACCGAGGAAGCAGAATTGTCGCAGACCGCCCTGGATTCCAGACATGGCGCCGGCAACCAGGATGAGAATCTCGAAGAAATAGTCGCGGACAATCTCAAAACCGGTCCTCTTGATGGCGGTCTGAACAGCTGACTGGATAGTCGAGGGCGCGCCCCGCTTCTCTTCAGCCGCCCGTCGGCCATCCAGGGACGCAGAGAGCACGGCCTTGGTGAGGACAATGGGCTTCTCGAAACCGATAATGACGACCAGGAATGGGAGACCCTCGGACAGCAGGATCAGGTTGATTGGGACGCCGAGGTAGGTTGTAACAGCGAGACCGAAAAGGAAAGCAAAGGCGGACTGCAGGAGAACTGCGGTGGCCAGCCAGAAGTTGGACCCCAGGCGCCTCATGGCGAGAAAGAGGGAGACAAAGGTCAGGTGCATTGCGAGGTATCCCAGGGCCATGATGACGATATCACCAGTATCCGCGTTCTATCAAAATTAGCCATATCCACGCCAATCGCCAAATAACATACCTTGAGGAGATCCACGAAAGACGTCCACGAGTCCAGAATCCAGTTACGCACACCACCAGGGGCACTGCCGTTCTTGGACGCCTTCATCATCCACTTCTTCTCCTCGCGTGTGCCTTCCTGCTCGGAGCCCTGCGACTGGGCAGCGTCTTCGGGCGCAGAAATCTCCTGCATGGCCTGGAGAAAGTCGGCGGCTTCGGTGTACGGGATGGAGAATGCGAGCGAGGTGTCGTGGGAGAAGGTGGAGAAGGAGCTGGACGAGCTGGGAAGGAGCTCGGCGGAGACATTGCTGGGGACGGATTGCTGCGAGGGAGCCGAGTTGATGATGCTCGATTCGGGGAAGACGAGGGTGACGAGGGCGAGTTCCTGGGCGGTCTGATCTGTTAGCTAGATATCTAAAATCCAACGAACATTCTTACTTTATCCTTGTAGATGGCAGTCTTGGGCTCCTCAGCCTCCCACTGCCATGACGTCTCCTCTCCGATTCTGAGTCTCTTGCTGCCGGCCAGAAGAGTGGTGAAGTCGACGCGGCTCGAGACTTCCTCAATGCCACTTTCCAGCAACCCCTTGTCGAGAACGCCCAAGTAGGAGTAGCTGGCCACGAAGGCAATCGTGACAATGGTGTGGATTGGATGCGTGCATGCCTTCTTCGCGACGGAGAGCAGGATGGGGTTGAAGTGGCGGTCGAACCAGGCGGGGCCCGTCTTCTTCTGCTCGCCCTGCCAGCGGCTGGTGAGATATCCGAGCATGGTGAGGATGCGATGTTTCCACTGAAGTTGATTCAGTGGTGTTGTAGGCCTAGAGAGGCGCTCGCATGGGATGACGCGTAGGGTGGCTGTGCGCAGAGGTAGTGGGATTGGATGCGAGTCTCGCGTGTGATGTGACTATATCAAAAGACCTTTTTGCGTGTCAGTAAATTCACGCCGGATATTCGTTCTTGCGGCGTACCTGCTACCCTCCGTGATCGGTGTTGCTACCAGACGGTGTCAAGTGTCCGATGCTGCAATTAGGCACTGCAATACCAGAATCCCAATTGGCGTCGCGACACACCGTCAGACGCGCAATATCAAAAAGTAAAGAAGGAAGGAGGGGGAGTAGAGGCTGGTGCTCATGACACTCGGTGCCGACCAGTCTGAAATGTGGAGGAGGCCCCTTGCCGTCCCGCGACTTTTTTGTCGACGCTAACCCCGACAGCCTCTCACCGCTTTGGCTCCCCGTCCGGCACGCGACTGTAATTCGACGATAGGCGATGAGATAGCAAAGGGTCCTGCAGGAATATGCGCCTAGCAGTTCTAGTTCGTGTGTCCAGCTCAGCGTACTTGGGTCAAAAGAGAGTAGTTCGTTGTTGTTGTTGCTGTTCGACGGTGGCTCTTTCCACGAAGAAGTTGCGCCACGCGAAGTTTGCGCCACACGCCACGTACGCCACTGGATGACGCGCCAATCAGTCCCAACAGCCGGATGATCTTCAGGGGATCCGCCAGAACAAGGCTGGAAATTGTGAATAATTCTGGCAGTATCGATAATGCACCTCTACAACGTCTCTATCAATCTAATAAACATTCCGTTCTATGTTCTATTCTATGACGCGCGAGCATGTCTACAGACTTTCTGCCAACTTCCTTGAAATACCCCGTCGTTTCCCAAATATCCCGCCGCCGTCTGGAATACCCCGCGACCCTGCTAAATCCTCCGTCACCCGCTACAGGCTGGAATAGACGCAGTAGTAGCCCGTCACTCAAACTTCTCAGTCATCGGAACGTCGCCGTTGGTAATCTCCTTCAAAAACGCTGCATCCGGCCTGTACAGCATGACATGGAAATGTTCCACTGCATGCACGCTCTTCAAACTCTTCCAATTCTTGAACCACACCAGCTCTTTGACCTTTGTCGCAAACGTCTTTTGCACATACTCATCAATCTGTTTATGTGACTCTGCCGTAGACAGTCCCGTGTCGGGGTCGTCGTCGAGTTCAAACTTGGTCCACACGACAAGATGGACAATGTCGGCATCAATACCATACGGCCAGTCGTTGTACAGGATCTTGATGTCCTCTGCGCGGGTAAATATAGATGTCAAGCCGGGTAAGGTGAATCGAACGCACCATCAAATTTGAACGGCTGGCCCTTCGGCTCCATGCTTCCCCACTTCAGCCGCTCATTCACAATGAAGTTCATGATACTGCCATAGTCCCTCTCCAGCCGATGCGTAAACTGCCGGTACCGTCTCAATTCACTTGGCAAGCGATGAAACTTGTCCACCCGGTTGCTGTCTACCCACAGCCATCAGCGTTTCGCCTATCGCGTGTCACGTCTTCATCAATCTCACCCACAATAGCCCGCACCTCGTCCCACCTCAACACCCTGTACTCCTCGTCAGGCGTTCCGATGATGCCCTTGTCTTTGTCACTAATATCCCTCAGGAAGTCAGGACACTCGCTCGGCCACTGGTCTCGAGGCACGTTGACAAGCCAGAACGGCAGCTCCTCGTGTGGCATCCTTGTTTGCAGCTAATTCAGGAAAATAGGAAAGTAAACAATTGCGTCGTCGTACAAGATTGGGATGACAAGGTTTGGGATTGCGCAGCAGGGATGATGAGCTGCCAGTCTAGGGAACCCTAGCGGTGAGCCCTAGGCATGTTGAACGACAGAAACAGCGGGTGGGACCGCGCTGAGGCTGCAAGGCCGTTGTCGCCATGACAAGCCATGTCAAGCCATGTTTTGCGTAGAACGCCTTGTTTCAAGCATTCATCAAGCTTCCATCTAGCATCCGTTATGGAAAGTCGGGCGAGTAAGACGAGTTCGCGATGTAGCGATGGCTCCTCATTCTTAACAACGTGGAAGTTTACAAGAGTGCGATGGAAGCTGAACACACCGCCAGAATATGTACAATGTAGAACACCTGCATCTCAGCCTCAGCCGCTGCACGCAATCAAACAGCCTCATGGCCTTGCCAATCAAACCAGCATCCCTCGTCTCAAATCCCAACTCTCCAATTTCCCGCGCCTTACCGCCATCGGCGCCATGTGTCCAGCGTGATGGCCTACAGGGATGCCACCCGCGCTGCGCCTCGTGATTGGCCATCCCCATCCCGCAAGCCCGAACCTCGAAACCAACGAAAACCACACGACAATATCGCAGTCCTGCTTTGACACCTGGACATGAGAGTCTAGGCAAGCAGTGTTACATCACATGGGTGCAGGGGACATCAGCTGTTGTTTTAGGGGCCTGTATAGACAGGCAGGTGTTAAGTATGGCGATTTCCTCATTTTTGCCTTAGCAACTACTTTCCTTTCACGTCACGACTGCGCCTTGAAGTGCTGCAACAAACTACAAACGATCGCCTTGATCTACTTCTGATCTCCAACCACCGTCGCTCCTTTCCGTTTGTTTGCTACGTCACCCAAACCATCGTCGATCAACTACCCGAGTTAAGGTTTACGTCGTGTCAGTCACTACACACGCGGCGGGTTCCTGGCTCTGCTGGACCCTTTCCAATCTGCATACCCACCACAATCTCGCGTGTTGCTGTGCGACATCGTGCATCTGTCGTTCGGCGTCGTAACGCTCGTGCTAGTGGCAGTTCGACAGAAGTTAATAGTCGACTATCGCCTTTTACATCGACATCGATTGTTTTCATCAACCTTTACGATCGACACTACCACTTCTACTACGAGTACATATACCTCGACGACGATCAATTCACTACTATCATCACCACTACCTCCGACACCACCTTCAACGTACATGCTCAACACACCGCATTAACTCGCAATCTCCTACATACGATCGCTACCTCAATCCACTCACCCACCACACACCACCCAAAATGGTCCGCGACCCCCAATTCTGGAAACGCTTCAGCGTAGCCGTCCACCAAGACGACTTGGAAAAAACCACGCAAACCCAGGGCCTCAAGCAATCGTACGTCAGCAGTTCCCTATCCCCTCCCCTCGGATCCCCCACTTCCCAAACAAACCTACCCATCACATCCCCGCCCATGGTCCAACTGCAATCCACACGGTCATCCTACGCCGCTTCAGATCCACTATCACCACTATCAGCGGAGATCTTTTCGGGCGGACTACACACGCAAACGGCGGAGAAGGAGACGGAGATGGATAAAGAGAAAGAGAGACCCCGCTCCAAACTACAAAAGACGCCGTCCACGAAACCTTTACTCCGCCCCTCCATCTCCATCCAAGAGCTCCCTTCAACCACCACGCAAAACGCCTACCAACCGCCCTTCTCCCCTCTCCCCTCATCCCCCACACACCCACACCCATCTTCATCCTCGCGTCCCCACTCCTTCTTCCGCACCCCCAACCTTTCCACTCTCTCCCTCAGCCATCTCTCCGGACGCCCTTCATCGCGCTTCCACTTCACCACGACCATCACGGCTGACGCGTCACATAGAGATAGTTGGTTGGCCGGTCAGCAGAGAAAGGCCAAGCAAAGGACGTGGATTTGCTGGTGTTTCTGGATAACCTTCCTGCTGCTTGTTGCGGGTGTGGTTGTTACGATTATCATTTTGAAGCAGCATAAGATTATTTAAAAATATGGATGAGAGGGAAGGGGAGGGATGAAGGAATAGGTGTATATATGAGTGTGTTTTGGGATAGACGGGTGTAGAGGGGCGTTTAATGTCTTTTTTCTGGGGGTTGGATTGGGCTGGTGTTTTGGGCACTTGGATGCTCTTTGCTGCTATCCGCGGTTCTCTTTCTTTTCGATGTTTATATTTCAGATGATACCAGGTCTTACATGGCCACCAATGCGATATCTGCTTCTTTCTCGAGAACATCTCACCATCTTGCGCGTACGTGACTTGACTTGCAAAAAACACCTGAACACAAAACGACTGAAGTGCACTGCTTTGATGGTCAGTTCCATTAACCATCACGCACGGCTCACGAAGTTTATTCAGGCAGACGAACAGATTGATGTGAACCGACAGAGTGCTTTTGTGTATCTAGTCCCGTGCATTATCACTTTAGCATGGTTCCCAGCCTAATATACAATGTCAATCTGCAACGCCATGCCCGCAACGGATATCTCAGTCCCAAAAGCGCGAGCATGTCCAACGCCAAAACTCCATTCTCTCGCACACTCATACATCTCCCTTGTCCCGACAAACATCATGCGACGATCTTTTATTCTAAAACCGGCTCTTCGTCGCAGGCGGCGTAGGACTCCTGCTCATACTCCGGGCATCCCGGCCTCTCTCCTTCAACCACTTGCGCGTGCACATGTCCAACTCGCGGTCCAACTCGGCACTCGGTTCCTTGCGATGGATGAAGTTGCAGAAGCCGCCGCGGACACAGCCCTCGCCGCTGTTGAGACGACAGCAGGCCTCGCGGAAATCGGTGACGGGCGAGAGTTCGCAGTAGATGGGGCGGCCGGCGTACCAGCGCGAGTTGAGCGCGTCGCAGGCTTTTTGCGCGTCTTCTTCGTACTTGAAACGCACGTAGACGTTGCCGATCAGGTCTGTAGGTTGCGTTAGCAGCTTCTTCTAATTAAAGGAAGTAAAGGTATGAGTGTAGGGGGAACGCACGATCATTGTTATTGTCGCAAACTACCAGCTCCTCCACAAGTCCATACTGGCACAGCTCGCACCAGATATCCTCGTAAAACGCATCAAAGTGCATCTGCATCTGCTGCGGGTTCATCTTGTTCTTGGGGTCGTACGCGGGGTTCTGGTAGAGGTTCGGCAGCAGGATCGTCTGCGAGTACGACGGCTTGACGTGTTTGCGCGAGCAGCGGTCGCCGTGGCGGCACGCGCCGATCTTGTAGTAGAAGGAGCAGTTGACTTTGTCTTGCTCCGTTCCGAAGATGGAGGCGAGGTAGTTGGCCATGGTTGAGGTTGTGCGGGGTGTTACGTGAGGTGTATGGGGGTCGCGACGGCGTAGAGGACGTGGACGGCGATGGTGTGGTGCGTGAGGTCGTCGCGCGCGTGGTGTTGGGAAAATGTCGCGATGCGCGGAGCTCGAAGCTAGGCTGAATGTCGCGGACGCTAGTGGCTGACAAAGCGGAGAGCGCCAAGGAAGCGTCGAGAAACGCCACCTTCACTCTTTCTTTGGCATGCTTAGGATTCGACATCAATGGATTTACAGCATCATTACGAATCTATTGTGGTCAAATCCGAGACCCTCGCTGCTTGCGGTCCTTCAATGGCGCAATTTTGGCCTTTGTAGACCCAGCGCGCCTGCTCTCTTACATACTATCGTGAACAATTTGACCAACCTGACCGAACGAGGAAGGTGCGACTACGGCGAGCTTCTATAACGAAAGCAACACCAGTATCTCAATTTCCGAGCCGACGCGTTTCACCTCATTCTCCCATTCGCCTTTCTCGATCAATTCTCCTCAAGGTTTCTGCCCAAAGCTCAGCCTGCTCCTCGTGTAACACCAAGGCACTCCATGTACTGACCATAGCCTTTTCGTTTGGCTCGTATCTTTCCACAGTCACTTGGAGCTGCCCATACTGGAGTCTTCGCTTTCGTCTTCGTATCTAACGAAGGTGTGCAACTCGAGGTGACATCGGCGGAGATACTTAGGTATGCCAAACAGCGATGGAGAGCTTCCGCGAGGCTGAGAAGTGAATCGTCCGGGGGAAGTGTCATCGTGATGCAAGGTATCTCAGTCGTTCCATGGCGTTTCGTAGAGTTGTCGAGATACCGCCCACCAGGCAATCTCTTCGCTATTCACCCAGAGGTCAGACCAGTCGGTGCGAGGCATGTACAACGTGGGTACCTCACTCGTACTTCCGAGGCCGTTTCTATCAGTCGAATTATGTACACCACGCCGCTTCCACCAATCCAGACCTCTTTTGACTCCATTAACAGCCGATTCGAACAGCATCCTGTTTAATAGTCGGACCGGACGCTGGAGTGCAATATCAAGCAAGATGAACCAGTCCGACCGCGGTATAAAGAACACTCCAAAACATCTGTTTGCTATTGAGAAAGTATCGCCATTAGGACCGGGATTCGCGAAGCGCTTGACAGGGTAAAGAAGGAAGATCAAGTCCATCCACGTAAAAGCAATGATGTCGAACAAGTCAAGCAGACCTCGACAGAGAGCTTCTAGAGATGTCCTCCCATCCCTTGGTGGCATTCTCCGGTAACTGCAACAATCTCGGGATACGAGGAAAGTTTGATCGATATTGGCTGAAAGGATCGATTTGAGAAGTGTGATGAGATTGAAGCGTTGCTCTTGAAGACGAGAATGCCAGTATGCGCGCATGTACTCGCACTCGAAGAGTACCCAGAAGGACATGGCGAAATGGAGCGTGCATTCTTGAACGATTGCGCGAATGTCTTTGGGGAAGATAGGAGGGCTGCCGAGGTAGGTTTGTGTCCAGATTGCGATCTGTCCCAGGTGGACAAGCGTCATTGAAAGTAGTATTTTGTATGATGTGGGAGGACTCGGGTCTGCGTATCTTGGAAGATGATCGTTGGGATCGATAGAGTAGTCGTTCTCAGCATAGAATCTTAGGGCGAAGAGTAGGGGAAACGCCATCCAGAGTAAATGTACGGGAATCGTGAACCAGAGAAATCCTGCGGCGATGGTTTCCTCACGTAAAGGTCGCATCTGGAAGAAGGCTACCGAATGTAGGGATAACAAGCAGTAGACCGCAAAGCGAGTCTTTGTCGGTATCTCGTAACGTGGAAACACGTCAAGCGTATGACGAGTGGTTACAAAGTGCGGCATTGCAACGCTCGCGAGTGGCGATGATGCAGGGAAGGACAGAATGCGCTTGTTCTGTAGAGGTGCAGTCATTAAATCTGCGTTCGGCGGATATTCATCGTTGAGCGAAAGCGGGAGTGTTGTGAGGTTGTACAACTTATCGCTGGGTCTGGAGCATACATTGGTAATGTGCGCGCAATTCGCGATGCGGTACCATGGGTTGCCGACGACACTGCATTGGCGTGCCACACACATCTCTCACTCCAGTCAAGGAAAACCAAACACCCTGGAGTCTACATCGATGTCAAAATGGAAAGTTTGTTAGTTCTTGATGGGATGTAGACTTCTGGGTCGCTATTGCGTTTCTTACTGTACTTGAGTAGTGGATCTTTTCCTGGCATGCGATGCTCCTTTAATGTTCAGTCATGATCGAAACCGCATCCTCGAACTCCTCTGACGCGGAACTCTCTGCCTCTTCTACCACCACCACTTCCTCCGTCTCAACATCATTATACGGACATATCCCTCTCCTCTCACGCCACGCCCTTTCCACATCCCCCAGTCTCTTTGCACATGTGTCGCACGGCTTTAAGTGTAGCTCGATGCCTACGATTGCTGGGCGATGATGGCGAGATGATCCTGGGCAAGTAATGGTGTAAGCGTGTCTATGGCAGTGGCAGGAGAAGGAGTGGATGGTCGCAGCGCATATACAGTTTGCTGGTTTGATGTTAAGCGTTGGCATGATTCACGAGAGAGTGTGGCGATACTAAAGTGTTGGGGTTAGATAGCAGTAGGGTAGGGAAGAAAGTAGGAAGGAGCGGTGCACAGTGTAGTTGATTAAGTACATGAAACTTGCGTGAACAGCCGGAAGCAATCACATAGTATGGGGGTGATAGTGCGGAAATGTGGAATAATTGATACTGTTAACACCAGCTCGCTGCGCTGTTCAACGTTCCCACGTGAACACTCTCTTGACCAGACACATTGTACAGATTGGTGATATACTCCCTTCAACACGTATTCTGGAGATACTGAACACGTTAGCGGCTTCCGTCATGTTCAAAGGCTTCTATGCCCCTCACAATCTACTGTCTGCCCTCCTCTCTTCGCATCTCAAGTTCTTTCGACCTCGCTTCCCGGTGATCTCGCAATATACACACAGCGCAAGGTTCCTGGTAGCAGACTTCCACAGTATTTGAAAGCGCACGGCTGCAGAGACCGAAGCATCCAGGCGACGACGTCAAGCTCGCTGGGCACCAGAACAGTCCTTTGTGGGACGTATGGGAACACGTGTAGATGACGAGTGTGTAATGGCACATGTTCAAGTAGGTGTAGCAGGTAGTTCGGGCGAGGTCTAATCGTAGTTTCGGCTCGTGATATGTCTCGAGCGTGGTAGTAGTGTATTTTTAGTCTTGACAGCAGCTTATTGCGGCTAGAGTATCTTCTTGGGGTGTTTATATGAGGTCGTCGCTGTGATGGACACGTTCTTCACGTCTGTTGTGCCCATCATTCAATCAGCCCTTCTACGCTATCGCATATTGACGACCAAGACAGCAGGTGGTTGTTTGCGTGAGCATATTTGATCAAGTTGTAGATGGTCTCAACGCCAACGTGTGAAGATGCTACCCGCATCAATTTGCCACGGTGCCCAGAAAGCGACGACACCAACAGGCACCACCTGGCATACTTTCATGGCTAACCTCGAAACCCCAATGTCGAGACGTGTTTGCAATAACATTTCGAGATGTAAGGACATTGTGAGAGATGAAATGGCGCCTTCCAGAAGACAGATCTCGGCCTTTAGGTTTGGGTAGCCACCGCACGAGGTCACCTGCTAAGGACATCCGACGTGGTTAGCCTCGGGTTTGGTTCCTGTAATCTGCGAGCCGTTTTGACAGGCGGGGATGCTGGCCAGGCCCCCGTTGATGCCGTTTGCTATGCCTCAGGGCTGTTCCGCGCCCCGCCGTTTTCCCTTATCAATGAAACACGAGGGAGCGATAGGAGCGTGCCTGTATGGGTAGGAATGCGTCTTGGGAAACATCTCATCTCGCAGTCTGTGCTCGGCATCGGAAAAGAAAAAACGCGCATGAAGCTGGCCAGGTGTCTGGAATCTCGCTTGTCAAATATAGAGACTGGATGGGCGTCAATCTGGTCGTGGGAAATGGCTAGCTGGCGGGCATCGTGAAATGGAGAGATGCGCGCCAATCAGGCGATATCTAAACTCCCTAGCACGTGCCTAGGTTGAAGCCTAGCGTGGCGGCCGATGACCAATCAACGCCCGCGTGCGCTCTGACCTGAAACAACGTGGAGCCTCCACCAAACTACCTTCACCCCACCACCCGTCGCTTGCGGGTTCACCTTCCTTCTCGAAGCGCTGCACCGGCACACATCCACCTGTCGTCGGGACGTTCCAGGCCTGCTCTCTGGCAACTCGGGTGTTTCTTTAGCTACCCACTTGTGATTTCGTACGCGTCACGCGCTTTCTTGGTTCACGATGGTCCACGATGGGCGATGCAGAAGGCTTCACAATATCGCAATCACTGGCTCTCATTATCCATCTCTATTTCATCTCCACTTTCATCGCATCGATCTAGATGATGCCTAGCTTCCGTCGCTGTGTTGTAGATCAACGGCACACGGTCCTCTGACACTCAACGGCCCCTCTGATGTCTGAGGATGGCTAGCGTAGCCCTGCCATGCACATGTATTGCCAACTACCGACTAACAGACGCCGATCTTCGCGCCGGAGAGTACGGGAGGCTGCAGCAAGAGCGCGCTACGCCGCGACCACGCTGCGGGACGGGAAAGCCATGGCTGGCGGCTACAGCATCGGCCAGCGTTGAAACGCACATCCTACACCCATACAGTCAGGCTCGAAAGCTTGCGTGCGGCGTCGCGTGGAGTGGCGCTGTGTTTCGACACCTCGTGTGTCTCCTTCTCTATTGGCTCCCGTCGCTTCTTCCCTTCTAGGCCGGAGATTTTACAACGCTCAACAGCGTCTGTCTCACCACCTTCGTCCACCTGAATAAAGGACCATGGCCGCGTGATATTACAGTTCGTGTTCAACTTGTGCGTCTTCACTTCTTCTCTTGCATTTCTTATTTTCTTGTAGCCTAGAGCGCGCAGTGCGTCGTTCACAAGGTCCGGTACTATTGTCATTGAACAATAGCATCGTTACGTGCGAGGTGAAGACGGATTGAGTCACACGACTATTGACGGAGCAACCACTCACAGTGCCCGCCAAGCCGATACTTCACTTTTCATCACGATATAATTTCCTGTACACCAATTCCCAGCTGTCCCGCTTTCGACAACAACACTCACGTCAGGATACACGTATCGCCCGTGTTGATAAGACATCCGGCACCGACCATCCCACACCTTACTCTTGCAGGGCAAGATTTCACTTTCTACATCACGACACACATCAAGATGCCTAGCATACGGAAAACGCTCGTTGCCGCGCTCATGGCCTTTCCTGCGGCTATGGGCCACAGCTGGGGCGAGCAACTTCGGAACATCGACGACAAAGGCAACTACGTCGGCCAATATGGATATCCGCGGGGCTTTATCGACAGACCCGATGGTACAGACGACCCCATGTCCTACCAAATTCCTCAAGGCAGGGCGTATATCAACAAGGACGACCTGCTCTGCCCGGACGACCAACGTGAGCAGAAGCAGTCCGCCGACAAATGGCCTCGTCTCAAAGCTCCGCCAGGTGGCTATGTCGCTATACGATACCAAGAGAATGGACATGTTACAAGGCCGGAGAACAACCCCGAGAAGCCTGACAAGGGCGGCACAATCTTCGTCTACGGTACCAAGGAACCAAAAGGTGATGAGAAGCTTGTCGACGTGCTCCAGTGGACCAAAGATGGTCAGGGTGGTGACAAGCGTGGAGTCCTGTTAGCTATGACTGACTACGACGACGGACGCTGCTATCTGAACAACAAGACGCCAGTCGCCTCAGAACGTGAAAAGTTCTCCCCTGCCTATGCGATGGGCACACCCCAGAGCGGACCTTCGAACACAGTCATGTACTGCGAGACAGATGTCAAGCTTCCAGACACGATGGAACTCAGCAAAACCTATACCTTGTACTGGGTTTGGCAATGGGCTTCGATTCCTGGCAAGGCTGGAAAGCAGCCTAATGGTCTGGACGAGTACTATACTACATGCATGGACATCGACGCCGCCTCCCCTGATGTTGCCATGGCAGCTGAAGCTCCTGAAGCGATGGCAAAGTTCCAGATGCAGCAACAGGACGCTGGAACTGCCGCCCACCCTGACTGGAAATCAAGAACTGCTCTTTTCACCGACTCACCATTCAAGCGCGAATACGGCCCTGTCACATCTGAGATCCCACTTCCAGGCGGGGGTTCTGGCTCTGGCGGAGCTCCTTTCCCCACCAACAGCACTCCGCCCGCGGGTCCTACAGCTCCAGTCACCACTAGCGCTATTCCCGCTCCAAGTGCTGCACCTCCAGCCGCCAGCAACTCTCCTTCAATTTCCGCCGTCGTTCCTTCTGCGACCGCCCAACTGCCATCTCCCAGCAACTCCGCGGCCTCCAGCGCTACTATAGAGATCCCGACACTTTCAGGTCGACCCGGTGCCGCACCAACACCACCAGCCGGCAACAACGGCGTTGTCACAGTCACCGACACTGTCATGGTCACTGTCACAGCTCCTGCTCCAACAGCGCCTGTTGCTACTCCGCCCGCTCCCCCGGCAGTCGCTCCCCCAGCTATCACCCCTCGCGCAGTGCACAGTATCTACCACAGGAATGGTGCCAAGTTCAGAGGTCTATAGACGGTGGAAAGCCGCGTCTGCTTTGATTCTGGTACTGCATTTTCTTTTGTTACATACTGCGCCCTCCAGTGGCAGGCCACAGGTACTGATGACGGACACACATGATGATGACTGCATGAACACGATTGCATGATCATGAAGATTGGGAGGCTCTTTTTCTTTTTGCATTCAGCGATACCCCTTGCATACATTTTGGCGTTTTAGGTAGCATCTCAAGACCTATACCCGGGCGGGTTGGTCAGGCGTTCATCAATAAAAGCAATCACAAGTTACTCAAATCAATCACGTCCTGCCTTCGCATCGACCGTGACCGTCTTGCATGATGTGCTCACTGATACCAGGTTGTGTCGCTGGCTTCACGTGCAGCCACGTGTTCTGACTTCCATGTCTAAAATCACGCGACCTTACGTGACATCAACAACCTCGGCCGAAATGTTGAGTACGTTCCATGAACGATTTCTACCCAGATGCCGAGCCTCTCGGATCGCTTCCAGTGTCGATGCGCGTATGCTCGGAGCATCATCCGCATCAATCCCTGCGAACAACTACGGTTATAACATGACGCAACGCCGTTAATTGTGACAAAGAACCGAACGCACCTTTCCACTTGGGTCGCGGCCCGGATACGACCGTCACCTTCGTCAAAATTCGTTGGCTCGGACAGCAAACTTACTCGTCATCTGTACTACGTTCAGAGCCATCAGGTCTAGACCAGCAGGATCACATCGCGACGAACTCCCAGACCGTTCGAAACCCAGCAATTGCTCCCGTCCTCCAAAACCGGGGAGCTGGGTTAATATACGTAAGGCTGAGCGTTACTTCCCACGAATGGCGTGCTCCGGCTTCATTCCGATTTGCCCCAACATTCGCAAATCGTCTTTGCATGTCGAACGGTTCGGAGCCTTTGCCATGTGGCTTTGCCAGAGACGTTTGCGCTAGTTTCCACAGCCTCACAGCAAGGATGTATACTCGTTGCGAACACTATGTTGCATTGATGAAGCCCCGGAACCACACATCGCTGAGAACGTATACTCTTCACCGGTGGGAGGCAGCAGAAGGATCTTATGAGACAGCTACGCGCTGTTCACGCATTGCGAGGATTTGCCTCAACCCTATACCCGACTTCCCCGCGGCTGATAGTTGGTTCGCATGAGATTCAACAGGAGTGTGTTGGGCGATCGCGACACCCAAGGATGGGTATAAGAGGAGACATGGTTGGGGACTATCAGAATCTTCTGGCGAGACACTGAACAGAGCTCCTCACGATACATTGATCCTCCTGTCTAAAACGAGCTCATCCCGCTCATATCCTTCGAAGTCACATCAACTCCCCACACCAATTATCGCACCTTGCCAGCCATGTGCCGAGACATCTACCGCCATTACGAACGCTGCGCTCACCACGAATATATCCAAGCCCCACCGTGCCAACACTTCCGCACCGGTCTAAACCAGATCAACGACCCACGCTACTTCAATCAGCCCGGTGTTCCTTATCGCCAATCTCGAAGATGCCGCGAGCAAAACCAGTTTGACTTCCGTCGCGACGCTTATTGTACACCATGTATGATGACTAGGCAAGGTTGGAACTTTCGAGGGTATAACAGTGGGTTTGGGGGATGGCCTAGATATAGGCCGGCCGGGTTTTGAGGGATAGTGACACTTCATACAAGAGAAAACTAAACAGGCCTGCGGACTACATCAAGACCAAAACCTGCAAAGTGGGTGACCCAACGTCAACGTCGGCTCCAGGGTGTTCAGGTTTTTCCTAGGCTGGCGTGGTGAGGTCGAAGTAGAGGAAGGGCGGGAAGAAGGATATTGGGAGAGGTTATCTAGTTCTTGGAAAGATCCTCGAAGACTAGAGACTGATCTCAATGTAGAAGGAGTGACGACCTAGCTTAGCATCAGTGCACGGGTTTCGGATAGTGATAATAGAACTGCTTTCTCTATTTCAGATACACTCTGTCGCTGTATACAAATCTTACTTTTCGATTGCAACTGCTCAGGCCCAGACTCTACGGCCTTGATCTTGCATTCCACCACAGCATCCGTATTTCCATCCGTATTGTCCCTTTCTTCACATCTACTCCTACAACACCTATCTCACCTTCTTAGTCACCTCCTCAACAGGCATCGTCCCCTTATCACTCTGCAACATCGCCAACGTGAACAGCCCAGTCAAGGTCAACCACACATTCCCCCACACCCCAATGCTCATACTCGTGTTATAATGACTCGGCATCTTGTAATGCTGGTACGCGCCAATGCCCGTCGTAATATGATGGAACACCGTCGCAGCTACCACTGCCTTCGCATACGGGATCGTGGTGAGCTTCGTTGCGGGCGCAGAGTTGAAGGGTATGGCGTTTGTGAAGGATACGAGAATCAGCGCGAGGGTGACGAGACACCAGCCGTCGTTGCGGACGTTGTAGGCTTCGAGGTCATTGGGAGCGAGGTTTAGTTGCGAGGGAGGTCGGAACCCTGTTAGTGTTAGCTTTGGAATAGACAGTGAACATCAGGGGATTGAGGCTTTGAAGAGCGGGGGTAGGAAGGTTGGAGAGTCAAGGTAACGTACAGCCGATGACCATTATCGGGTCGTACACGCGGCACAAGCCACGCAGGCCGTACCAGAATGCCGTGCCATAGGCATACGCATGGAATACCTGTGCACACCAGTCAGCTACACCCTCCTGAATGCTCCAATTTCTCCGTAACAACACACAGTCGAGTTTATGGAAGGCATAATGTCGCTACCAGTCAATTGCACACAACAAAGCAACAATTGCGCGATAAGATGAGAGGTCAATGAACACGCGCGGCCGCACCTTAAATGATGTTTGTTGACGTTCCTGGCAAGCTTCCGTACCTGCGACGTCATTATGAGAGCTCCAATAGCTCCATTGGTGTTGAGGGGCTGCAAGCCACGCCGTTAGCCTCCCCGTGGAATCGGAACATCGATCCGCGTAGCGCACCCGCAGATGGATCGAAGATGAGATCGGCCGCAACACGATTGCGATGACGCTAAAAGCAGGGGTTAATCCGGCAGATACATGTTCATAGAGATGATTTTGGGATGATGGGCGCGCACAATACGATCGTGAAGGGCAGCCTTGTGTTCGAAAAAGCAAATCTATTGGGGTATCCACATTTTAATTCTTGCATCACCATGCTATCCTTCCTGCAACACTCCTCGCTGTCCTGACTTTGCCAACTCCAATCGTTCCTTCCCCACCCAACCCTTGCATCCGTAAACTCGCATCAACGACCTCGAGCGCATACGCACTCTCAATAGGACCCAAGTCCAAAATGGTACCGTTGTGCACCGCATTCGCTGCTGGATTAACAATCTTCTCCACATCCTCCTTGACCTGCGGCAGCAACACCGCGGTTGCACCCAACCACCGCGCCAACAACCCCTTGAAAGAAACTTGATCGGTGTCACACGGCTCCTCCGCATCCTTGGCCTCGCATTTGCTCTCGAAAAGCGCGCCAGTCTCGGTGTTGACGAAATTCCTCTTCGCGGAAGCAACAAATCCCTTCGTTCGCTCCGTCCACTTTTCGTCTTTGGTGTGCACGGCCATGACCGCAGCGCCGTACATGTAAACACCGACGTTGTAACTCCACATGTTGTGGTTGAGATCTGAACACCCGTTGTCTTCACTCGTTCCGTCGTAGACATTGAAATCCTGATCTACAAGTCCGACCTTTGTACTCCAGGCGTATGTTTTCTCTGCCCAGGATAGGATTTCAGCATCTTTTGTGAGGTGTCCGATGCGCGCGGCGAGTTGGAAGAAGAGACCATTGGTAATGGCGTTCTTGTAGTGCCAGCCGTTCTGACCGTCTTCGCCGAAATCTACTTTCCAGCGCAGGCCGCCGCCGCAAGTGTTGTTGCCATCGATCCAACGCTGTTTCTGCTGATTGAAAACGTTCGTAGCCAAATCCACCCAAGCTACGGGTCCCTGCTGCGGGAGCTTCATCTCAGCGGCTGTTATAGCGGCGAGGCCCCACCACGCTTGGTCATCGTTGCCGGTCGCGTCGACGGTCATGAAGTCGTTTGCGGGGGTCGCTTGACTCAGGATCGTGGTTTTGAGAAGATCTTCATACTGGAGGTCGCCCGTGGTGGAGCCGTAGGTTAGAAGCGCTTCCACTGCGGTGCCGGATTGCCACCACCAGTATGGTTGGGGAAGGAGTGCTAGACCGGGATTTGGGAAGGAGACTTTAAGCGAGGCGGCGAGGGTACTTGATGACGATAGTAGGGCGGCTGGTGCTGGAGGCGATGGCGGTGGGGCTTGGATGGCGGCGATTTGCACAACGAGTGAAACGGCTTTGCTGAGGGTGCTCGGTATCATTTTGAAGGATTGAATCGGTATAATGGTATCGTAGAATGGAACGTGCTGATCAAAGCAAAAAAGAATGTGATTTGTGTAAAGAACGTACTGGTTCACGGAACCATATAAAAAACAACCAAAGAGTGTCTGCGCAAAAAAATGCGACGAACAAAGAACGACGGAAAAGGTGTCGAAGGGAGGGAAGAAGGACCAAGGACGAGGGCTGACGCGTAAAGATAATGAGATACCACTCAACCTACCCACAATACACAACTCAGCCTCAATCCAACGCATAAAATGCCATTAGTTTCATCCATCCAGCATACTCGGCACCCACGCCGTGCCCCGACCCAAAATTAGCAGGTGTCACACATGCGCCTTGGCCTATCCACCCGCACGTGTAAATGAACAAATGCCATGCATGTGCGTTGTCGATAAGAAGAGTTCTCTGGGCTTTCTGCAAAAATCTCCTGATCGACAGCTAGGAAGGGATGGTCTAGAACGGATTCGTTGTTATCTGAAACGCGACGCGACGACGTCGCGCGATGTGATTCGTCGGGTATTGAGAACACTGGAGAGGCCGAGAGGACGCAGCAAGTTGGGCGGTAGGGGTCGGAAAGATCGGATCTGCTGCGATAGAGCCTGAATTGGCGTGGTGAATGGGATCTGCTGTGGGTTGTGATGATGTGCCGAGGTGGTGGATGGGGATGAGCATGTCCAGGTGCGATGGGGATTGGTGTTGAAGATCTGGACTGTTGATCCCAATGCATGAATCGCGTAGGACTGCGGCTCAGATCCAATGACGCTGAACGTACGCGCCCTGATTTTGGGATTCGTGCGATGCCATCGAAGCTGTGTATAGTTGAAGATAAGCATTCACCCTAACGCATTTCATCATACACCCCAACCCTCCTACTTCCCACGAATACATCTTACCACCACCATCACCATCTACATCTTCGCCATAACGACCTTATTCTTGACAAAACTGCCCCACCCCTCCGCAAACACTCCACCCTCGCCATCCTCCACCCAGCTCACAGCCTCAACATACCTCCCCTTCTCCCTCACGATCTTCGCCCTAACCTTGACCACAGATGGCGTCACCAGGTTCTTCTTATATTTGACCCGCAACTCACTCGTCGCATTCGGAATGCCATAGCTCTTGACTAGAAGGCAGCCCATGCAATGATCCAGCAGCGACGCCGTAATGCCGCCATGAAGACTCCCATAGTTCCCATCGGCATCGTGAGCTAGCGATACCAGCACGATGTTTTCCGTTCCTTCCGGATCGGAGAGATCGTATTGTATGTCCTTCTTCGCTGCTTGTCTAGCCGCTTCTTTCGGGTTGTCGGGCGGCACAATCTCCTCCCATGTTGTGTCCGTGTGTGTGACTACACTGTCGGGGTCTATAACCTCCCGTCGCTTACCATGACCCGGTTTCCACAAGTCGAGAAACGCGCGGATCGCGTCGGATGTGAAGAGGCCGCGCGTGAAGAGCAGGTTCCAGCCGTCGCGGGCCTCAAACAGGCGGCGATCGTGGATGGACGTTATCGAGGGGTCGGCGAAGAGGGCTTTGCACCAGTCGTGAGCGGTGAGGTCTTCTAGGTGTTCGGTTCTTCTTCGGGTGGTCATCGTAGGTCGGAGGAGGTGCAGGTATGGTGTCGGTGCGGAGCGGACGGTGAAGGATGATTTATATAGGGTCGTCGTGGAGGTGGAAACCTATGCGATAAGGCTGCTGGTATGATATAAGGCATAGCTGCGGTCGGACGGTCGGCTAAATAATGGAGGGATGAGAAAGAGGTCGGACGGTCGGATTTCGCTGCGTGTCGCGTTACTTGCAAAGCAGGGAGCTCAGGTTCCGAGGTTACTGGTGATAAAGTTTAGCGCTGACGTATCTAAGATTGACCGCAACAAGGTTAGTATCACCGACCTGCATACCTGGGACCTGGACATCAATTCAATCACGCGAATAAGACAAAGACATAATTTTGAACGTATTGTATTCTTCCGCCACAACGTCGTAAAGTAATCAAGAATTACAGTCGAAACGTCGTGACTTCATGTGCTACTTCAACTATTCCCATATGAACTCCATTCAGAATCTTATCCTACCGAAAGGCAGGAAAGACTGGTCATCCATCTCTTTTCATGGACGGCCAAACGTGTACTTAATCATTCGATGCTGATTGAGTTTCTCTGCGCCAGTCTTCAGCTACTCAAGAGCCCTTCTGGAACGAGGCCAACGAGCGCGCGTTCTCCGCGCGGAGTGCCGCCAAAATCTTGTCGGTCTCAGCTTGCGCCGCCTTCAACTCATCCATTTCACCCCGAAGCTTGGCGTACTCCTCAATGGAAACCTTGTCCTCGGGGTCGTCCAGCAGCTCCTTCTGCTTGTGGCTGCGAGTTGAAGAAGTAGAGCCAGGAGAGAGCAGATCGTCAGGTGCATCGGAGAGCTCAGAGCTGTCGGAGTCAAGCTCGTCCATGCCCTTGGTGCCGCAGTGGTAGTTGACGAAACCGGTGTGCTTAGTCTTCTTCTTGCCCTTATCGTTGTTGGAATTGCCGCCGCCGTCGTTAGAGACGTTCTTGCCAATAGCACCCTCGTTGAACACGTCCTTGCTGAAAGCATCCTTGGAGACGACATCACCAGCTTGGGCACCGTTCTTTCGAGCAGCTTGCACTGGGACAGCGATGACATGCTTCACGGGAAGTACATTCGAAAAGGTAACGCCCATGTCGGCACCAGGGTGTTGCTCGTCCGGCTGAGATGCCGAAGTCTCTGACTGAACAACGTAGGTGGGGGATGACGAGTTGTACTGGGTTGTGGTCCTGCGCTCTTCTGGGGCCTTCTTCTTCATCTTACCGGGAGACATCTCGCCTCCAGAGTCAGTGGCCGTCGCATCGGAGTTACGCCGAACGATATTCATACCCAGAGAACTACGCTTCTGACGCTTCTGAGCCGGCTGTCGCGGTTGTAACATCATCTGGGACCCCGGAGTTGCTCCAGGATCCTCAGTGTCATCGTCGTCACCGAACGCGATCATCTGAGCCGCAGTACGCCTACCCCGAATCGCACGGTTCTGGTGGTTTTGGTCGTTGTCGCGGCCATTCTTGATCCACTGGCCACGGTGCGCGTTTGAGACGCAGTTGACGATGGTGCTACTGTACAGCTTGTGGGGAGCGCCAATCGTAGTCCAGGTCTTTTCGTTCTTCATCAGAGTAACGCCGGTCTGCTTGGAGGTCTTCAGCACCTCACAGATCCATGCTATACGCTGTCCGAAAGTCCAATCCTTGGTCTGGCTGATATTGTCGATGATAGACTTATCGTAGATGCGGACTTTGAAGCCATTCAGGTGAATGTCCTTGGCCATACCGACAATGTCCCAGGAGCACGCTTCAATAGCCCAATCCTGGTAATAGACACCTTCACCCGGAGTTAGCCGCTTGCGGTAAGCGTTGCCCTGGGTGTCCTTGGCGCAGGTCATATCCTTGAAAGCTAGCACCAACATCCTGACAAATTTGCGATACTCTGCGGCGGTAACGGGGATGGAGGGGTCGTCCTCTGGAGAATACCACTGAGGCTCGTCCATGGGCGCCCTAGCTTCTTCTAAGGTCTTGAAGCGGAAACCGTCGACCTCTGGATAGTCACCATCCTTGTCCAGAAGCTGGGAAATCTTGGTCTTAAGGCGGACCGGATCCTTGAGACCGCCGGGGACCCGTTCCAGGCGCGTGTCCGCAAGTCGGGGAATGGGAGGACTGAAAGGAACAGGAGCACGGGCACCAACGGGAGTTGAGGGAGATGCAGTCTGGCTCTGGGTCACCATCGGGTTCTTGTTGGCTATGCCCTTGGGGGTGTCCTTGGGGGTGTCCTTGTTGGGGTCGTGGTCGGTCATGTTGTGTGCTTGGGGCGGCGGCTGGGGTTTCGGTTTCAACGGTTTTTGCTTGCAACTAAGACACCTGTTAGTGAACTCCAGCATCTATTTTCCAGCTCTGGTGGAACTTACGGGAAAAATTGTTATTACTCTACACGGCGTGAGAGGTGAAACGCTTGCGTCCCCCGATCTTTATATGTGCAAGGCTGACTGCGCCGCTAGTGAAAAGATGCGTCCACGGGTATTGATGTAGAGATGGCGTAATGTTTACCTAGGCGACGACGGAGTGAAGTAAGAAATTGAAGGTCGCCTGTGACAAGCGCGGACGAATCGTAAGCCAAGAGGATATCAGGTGCGTTCTGTGAAAGAAGATGAAGGTCAGTTGTTATGATCGGTGCCTGTTGCTGGGGGCGTTGCGTGTGTATCGACAGCACAGGCGAGTAACGTGCGTCCGAGCGTCTTAGCATCCTCGCATTCACCTAGGACCTGAGCGTTTGTTACACCCACTACCCATTGCCCCGACCCACAAGCCCTCATGGCACTTGCTGCATGTCGATAGCGTGTAGTGTCGTGATGTGCGTCTTGCCTGGGATACTGGGCGAGGTTGGCGTCGTGCGATATGGCCTTGCTGCGTGCGATGTTGCCTGTGACATATGTTAACATACTGACTACCTTACATAGAATGACTTCTTGTTGAACTGAAAGACATAAGAGCTAATGGCGTACCATAGGAACCTTATGAAGACCGGCGACAATACGGATGCGCGAGGCCGTCGCAGGCCCGTCAGCATGTACGATTGCAGCTGACAGCGACAGAGCGCGCAACCGACTACACATCGTTCAGGTTCCGGCAAAGCAACGTTTTGCCAGGCTTACGCGCGTTCCGTCCAGTTCTTTGCTGAGGTGTTGCATGAGCTGCGCGTGCAAGTGCATGTGCATGTGCAAGTCGATACCGTGGAGACGCGAACGGATCTTCGTCGAGCAAGACCGGCAGGCAGTAATGCACTCTGCACGACGCAATATCTTCAGATATCATTGTTCCTTCTCTTTCAAGTTTCCCCGGGGTTGTTCAAGCAAGAGCGTTCCAGACGGGATGCGTCATGTGACTTCCTTACCCTGCGGGAAGGTGCACATTTTTGATCAGGGACGAGACCGGGAAAAGAAAAGGTGGAAGAGGGTACTCTCATTACACTTGAGTGCAGTATTTTCGCGTTGGAAGTCGCTCTTGCTTAGGAGATGTTCCTTCGGTGAGGTGCAGTCGTGGTTGCGCCAGTTGAATGGCTAGAAGGCATCGGTAGCCGCACGACCACGGCGCGGTATGCCATCGCGGTGTGTGGGGAAGAGTTGGATGCTAGTGGTTGTCAGTGTGAGTGCAAAAGGTTTCGAAGTGCAATGAGTTTGCATACCTAGACTGGCTGGTGCGCGGCAAGGAGAGAATGTTGCCTTGGCATGTTTGTCATGTTTGTCTAGGACGATGGCGGTCATCAGACGCGTCAAAAGGGCAGTGGCTGTACCACGCTGTCAGCTGGGCCTGTGTTCCCGATGATCTCAATCGGAGAAGCGTTGGCAAGATCGCGTTCGGTGCAGCATTGTGAGGGTCGCGGTGGTGGTGGTGGGCGTGGGCGTGGCCCGTCGACTTTTATGGCAGCACAGCCATTGAAGTCAGCGTCGGGAAAAGGTTGGGCATTTGATCACATGAAGACATGAAGCTTCAATCGCCCCCCAGGGTGAAAGTACCAGTAAAGAGAAGGACCCGGAGGTGGCGAGATTGACGATGCTGTCGACGTTGAGTGGAAGCGGTTGAAGTTGTGTGTTGCGGAGAAGGAAGGCAGGATCGAGGGGCGGACTCGCCGTCGCTAGCGCGCATTGATCCCACCTCAAAATCAACGACAAACGTTCATGGATTCTGCCAGGTGCACGGCCGCTTCTTGCTTCCTTCGAGATATCGTGCTGCACACTTCCATCAGCTTTCATCGAGTGCAGCCATGTTCAGGGGTATGCTCTTCGGACTGCCGCGATGCGCCGTTCTCCGCAGCGAACGCGCGGCTGCAGCGACTGCAGGTTGATGGGCTCGCTCCGCGTCGCCATCACATTCAATCGCTCAACTTCTCCTTTCCAGATCTCATCACTGAAGACGTTACCTTCGGCATGATGTCGAAGGAAGCTCTTGCAGCGGAGATTAGCAAGCACCTGCCGTCAAGGACACGATACCCTCCGAGTCATCAGCTACCGAGCGGCTGATCGATGGACTTGCTTTCTTTGTCTTGGGCTCTCTGATCCGGCTGAAAGTCCATTAGAGAACCGTTTTGTTAGTTGCTCCATTTGGCATGCCTTGGTCGAGGCAGCACAACACAGCAAACATCTACCTAGAGGTTAGTTGAGTCGGCATTGTCGTCTCCCGCTTACTATCCCCAGGCGAGCGAGTACGCTCGGTTGGGCGGCGCATTTGTCAATTTTGAGTTCGGAAGAGTCTTTGGGTTTGCCGGAATAGATTGTCGATCGCAACAGCTGGGAGTGCTTTGTCGGTTGAGACAAACACCTGGGCGGTAGTAGTTAAGTAGTGACGTGGAATCCTCGAACACTCATGGGTAGGCTGTCTTTCCCGGTCCCGCAAGCAATCTCGCTTTCCTTGCTCTTTCACATCTCCATGAGGACTGTCTTTCAAACCCCATTCACCAAGTTCGTACCATTTGGAATGGTACGGCGGGAAGGATGCGGCAAGATGAGCCTAGAAAGAGATATATCCAGTCGACGATAAGAGTCTTGCCCTTACATTTCGGTATATAAGACGGCTTCGAGGGGCTCTGGCTTACTTATACTTGGTTTAGTTGAGTTTATATACTGGACTGGCAAGAAACAGCGCGATGCCTCGAAGGTTGATACATAGTATCGCTACTGATTTTGCCGCCTGCATGAACACTCCGGTCGCCCTCACGCTTCGGGCTTGGCTCTATAGTGAATATTTCTCGGATGGCCCCTCCCCCGCCTTGGAGCGACCACCGTGTGAACACGTGATTCACCCTCCGACCCACTCTATCCGAGTTGGGAGCCTTCTGCTCTCCGCAAACAAAATCCTAGCGCGTTGTACCTCCGTGGTAGTATTTCTGGGGTTTCATTTCGACCTCTCAAGGAAATATCACTCCCCTCCACCACTTCGATTCACAACCACAACTCGCAAGTTTCATTGCACACGACGACGACATCTTTACAATGAATTCCAACGACCCCTCCACTTACACGACCGACGTCTCAATCACCGAGGAAATCGACTACGATTATTTTACGAAGTTGTTGCAGGAGAACCCCATCTCATCGAGCACTTCTATCGCGCCGGTAGCTTCAACACATCCTGGCTCAATCGAACAGGACGGCTTCGGGCAGAACGACCCCAGCGAATTTGATTGCGGCGTCAACTGGCCAATCTTCCCTTCTGAGGGCTTGGTTGACAACAGCAACTGGTCCAACTTTCAAGACAACATGTACACTTCTAGCGAGAGCGTACCCGGACAGTCGGCCCCTGACTGGAACTTGCAAGAAGGTTACAGTCACCTAGAGACTGGCCACCCGTATCAGCCCGAGAACAACGCAGCCTCCGGTAAGTCAATATGATATGCACTCTGTGTCGCGCGCTCACACTGACTTCTTCAAGGCTCGCCCAGCAGCTTGGGAAATAACTTTATGTATCCCTCGACTGCGGCTAACCCAGTCCAAAACACTGGGCGTCCGGTCTTAGCACATGATCGTACACCATCGCCCGGCTGGATGAATGAGTCGGCGAACGCGCCAATCGTGAATCAGACCCCAACGCCGACCCCTGCGCCATCGAACGGCAGTCCGTTTTTCATACGTCGGGACTTAGCGCTGGGCCATACGCAAGTGCAAGACCTTGGAATCCCCCAATACTATCCATCAGCGCCTGTTCACACATCACATACAAGCCGCTCATCCAGGATGCAAGGACCGCCGCCAGGCTATGCGCAGCCTCTGAGCACTGCATCAACGCCCTCTGTCACGCCAGCACCTCATCGCGGACCAGACTCCCGTCACGCACCAGCAACTCCCCAAGGGTCAGTACCGGGTCATGCATTAGAGCCGGGTCATGCGCGGCTCATGCTCTACCCGCCGTCAGTGGGCCAACTGCCATCAACAGCTCGTAGTCCAGTACCTCGCCATCAAGCAGTCGTCGCCCCTACGCCAGGATTTCAACATGGATCATGGCCCCCACAAGCACCAGGACTGCGATATCCACCCGGCCCGCAACACGCACCAGGGCCTCAACATGCATCCCGACTGCGCGTTAGATCAGCGCCGCCACCTACGTCGGCCAACCCTGATATATCCATGATGCCCCGCCCGCCCATCACCAACCAGCAGGCACCCGTCACACACCACGCAATAGCGACCGACGATGCACCTGCACCGCAGCAGTCCGAGAACGGGCACGCTGGAACTGGTGAGCAAGCTGCTGACGGCGCTGACGGCGCGGGCGCTGCTAAACCTAGTACACCCAAGCATATCCTTGACAAAGAGAAGCAAGCCCGGGCCGCGATCAGGAAGTTGAAGGAAAAGTTCAGCATCGATGGGCAGATGGGCGAGTCTATCACCATGGTTCGTACCAACACTGGAGTTGAGTTCAGTGGTACGATGTGGAAGGCGCCTGCCAATGATGTGACCATTCCTACAACAGAAGAGGATATAAAGGCCTGCGTCAATGCTCTTGACCTGGCAATGCACAACGTCGAAAACATCCGGGAGAAGGCCGATGTCACGTCATCTAACAATCGGTGGAACTCTAAGTCCAAGTACTATTTCCCGGAAGAGTACAATGCAGCTGCTGGCCTGCTTGTGGTAAGTTGAAACCAAACTGTATGCCTCTGCCATCGCTAACGTAACATAGAAAGAGCTTATCAAAATCCACACCGACGGTTGGACCAAGCAGATCTTCGACCAGAACGAGCGTGAGCAATGTCAGCTTACCCAATTCTACACGTTTGAAGATCGATTCGAAGGTCTTCGGGAACTGCTTCACGTAGGTATTCTGTCTTGATCATTATACAGCTTGATGCTAACCGTACACAGTACTCCAAGACGTCTTGTCAAGACATCATGAAGGGTTCCCGCTTCTACACGATCATCGCCAACCCGCGCAACCTGATCCACCGCACGGCCACCAACAAGACTGCCAATGTCAATAAAGGCAATCAGATCAAGGCAGGTAAGAAGGTGATGAAGAAAGAAAGCAGCGCGAAAGCTTCTTCCAGCGCGGCAGCATCTTCAAGCGGCGAAGATAAGGGCCACGGTACAAAACAACAGGACAGCGAGGAGGGCTCCAACAGCGAAGAGTCCACAAAGGTCAAGAAGGCCTCAAGGGGCAAGAAGCGTGCTCGCGAAGAGACCTTCCTTGCAGAGGATCCAGCGGGCCAACCACCTCGCAAGAAAGCGCCTGCGAAGAAGCGTAGCGGCGCATGATGGTTTGCGCATGTGTTTTGCATATCATTGGCGCTCTATACCCAGGGTGACGGAGTTGTTTGGTTTCGGTTCTTCTTTTCAAAGCTCGGCACAGTGTCAGCGATGACGTTGCAGCCCTGCTTGCTTGTATTATATCCTCCGTTTCTTTCCTGGTGTCTTGTCGTTTCCTTCAAACCAAAAGCGCCTTGCTACACACAGCGCCTTTTCAAATTATGTAGTGGGCCTGTGCCGCAAGCAGTAGCCGTGTTACTGTCTTCAACTTCAATGCCAAAAGTCATACCCCTCTCCACCTACATCGCTGCTGATCTTTACAACTTTGAGAAAAACCCACCATGTTTCATCTGCCCAGGCATTACCTCCGATGATTGCCTACTAGATTAATGAGGTGCAAGTAGCCGACGATAGATTAATCAATCTTACAAAAGTTCCCCAGTAACGCCGAGACTGACCGATGAACCTCAACGACAGCGCCTTGCTGTGGCGCAGTAGATTTGCATGCCTCGCCCTGTGACTAGGCATAACAGCGATAAAGTGTGGAGTACTCGTCGCATCCTCGCTGTCGCCTTAGTATCACACCAACAAATTACAACGGACCCGAGGCAAGATTGGAATCACCATATCGAGAACAGAGATGTGCTGAAGCAAGTTGATTACATGCACTGCATGTGCGCAAAGGTTATATATACAAAGAATCCTCAAAAGTTCCAAAATCCACATCTATCACCCAGTCATCTGCGATGACCACAATACTCTCACCCGACTAAAGTGCCGAGCGAGTCGAAGACTCCTCTAGCAAGACTTGACGGCGGAAGCAGTGTACTTGCAGTTGCCGGAGGGGCCCTTGGAGACGGACTTGGGCTCAGAGCCGGGCTTGGTGCCCTGGAACTCCTCGCAGATGGTCTTGACGGAGGTAGCGCAGGTGCCGGAGATAGTAGCGGTACCGCCGAAGTTGGGGTTGATACCGGCGAGGACCTTTCCGTTGTAGGCCTTGACGTTCTTGATGACGACGGAGCGGGCGACGCTGTTCTTGCAGTTACCGCAGGCACGGTAGAGCTTGCCGAAGTTCATGACGGCTGGGGTATGTTAGTCAATATTCTAAGAGGGTGTGATTCGAGGGGAACTTACTGAAGCCGTCAATGGTGACCGTGCCCTTTCCGTTGTGCTGGATGACCTTGTCGTCAGCGGCCTGGGCACCTCCGCCCTTGATCATGGCGTTTCCGTCACCCTTGAGGGAAAGCGCATCCTCGCAAACGTCGACCCACCAGACGTTCTCGATGGTGCAGGATCCTGGTTCAGATTAGTATCTATGACTCGTTTTTTGTACGGGAGAATGCTGACCCTCGCAGTGGATGCCCTCGATCTGGTCCTTTCCGATAATAGCGTTCTTAAGAGTTCCGCCGTTCTTGATGAGGAAGACAGCGTCCTTGTCACCGCCCTCGACCTGGCCAGTGCAGCTAGCACCACGGCCGTAGGTCTTCATGCCACCATCAAAGGTTCCGCTGACTTGCTGGGGAGCCTTGTAGGTGACGGAGCCCTTGGAGGCGGGGATCGGGAGGGAGGCGCGCTTGGCGAAGGAGGAGAACTCGGAAGGAGTAACGGCGGCAGGGCCGGCGGCGGCGAAGCCAGTGATGGCAGCAACAATGGCGATGGAGAACTTCATGTTGACGGTTGAGTTGGTTGATCGAAACTGGAAGTCGAAGAGGATGCTTTGAACAAAGTATGTATAAAGAATGTAAGGCTCTGAAAGAGGTAGCGAAAGTGGATGCTTCAAGCAACGAAAGACTGAATGAATGTGATGGTGGTGGTGATTCCTTTTTGCCGGTGGTCGTTGTGATACTTATACTTCCCCTCAACTAGCCTTTTGGGTACCACACTGAGGCACTCCACATTCGTCCGAAGATGTGCCATGTGGAAGACAGGGTACTGTTCCCCTCCGGCGGTACTCATGAGCCCAGGCCCAGAGCGTCATGCGTATGTGAGTAGGATGGCCCAGAAGAAGACGCTCGCAGGGTTCCGAGGACGTCAGGGCCGTGCTCTGGTGGGGCTTGGAGGTCGGAAACACGCTCAGGGCGCGATATCTCGATAGCACCCATGCCAGGCTCATTTGTACTGTGGATTTGGTAGAAGCAATTATCCAGTAAGCACCGTCTTGTATTCCAGATTCAACTTCCATCATCACCAGCTCGATAAGATACCGGTTTGCATCTCAGAGAGACGAGTACTGGGAGACGAGTTGAGAGACATCGTATTGTCGAACGCCACACGAACGCACGCGACAATGGGTTACCATCCAAAAGCCAGGAAGTCGTTACATGTCCGATTGACTAGTGCTGGATCCAGCCTGTCACACCGACGCCAACGCTCGCCAAAATGCCAAGCTTTGACATGAAACCGCTCAAATATCCACATCGTAACCACCTATCTGGAACGCCAAGGAGAACTGAAATTTCCGCTCGTTGTTCGAAAACGTCTGGCCAGTCAAGCATTTCTCCGGGAACATCATTGGGGTCCTGCCAAGACACATTTGCGATTCGTGTCACGGGGCGAGCCTTGCGCTAGAATCTGGCTAGAGTGTGAGATAGTTTCAATGACTTTCTTTTCGATATCTCCGCCAATCGCAACGCTTTCTGGCGGGCTTAAAACACCAGCTCAAGGCGCCTTGGCACGTCATGTCGCGCAAACAGGTGTCGTGCATGACGCCCAGGTGCCATTCCTAGGTGTACCTCTGTTCACCACGCTGATTTGAATCCCGAGTGTTCAAGAGTCGCTGACAGGACTTGCTTGCCAGGTTGATGCAGCCGGCTGACGCCAACCGCCCTGGAGGTTAGCTGCGTCGCGACTCGAGACGACGTCCAAGGCTGGTCGTCAAACGATCGCTCAGCCCATCCACGGAATACACATGTTGTTGTAGTTAGTAGTACTGTGTCATGGCACGTCGATTACTGATCGACGTAGAGTCGTGGAGTCGTGGGTACTGCGCGTGTCGTGCCGTGTCTCGCAGGTCGCGGTCGCGGTCGCGATCGGGTAGTCGTCTTCCGATTGCACGACTGCCATTGTGCATCCGGCGTCGACACGACCCTTGTTCGGTCCTTCGTGATCTCTAGATCTGTGTAGCCATGCTTGGGAGATGCGAATGTGTGTTGTCCAAGACGGAGTAATATCGAAAGTGAGAATGTACTGCCCAGGTTTCAGAAAGGGCCGCAGCAGCGGACCGCAGAAGTGTGGCGCAAAGATGTGGCTCAGGGATGTGGCGCGGGGTTTTGCAGGAGGTGGCCTGCGCGTCTCCGCTTCCTACTTCCAACCCGATTACGAAAGTCTCCGACACGGCACAAGCAACGACAACAGCCCGGTCCAGAACCATCCCCTTTCGATTCCTCACCGTACCGCAACAACATGCATCTACCCAGATAGCTACGATTGACGATTGTACACGTCGTCAGCTGGCGGAAGCAATGCACAACTCGTCCTGACCGCTACGATGATGCCCAAGCGCAGATTGGACACGAAAATTTTGCGAGACTGAAACAGTGTGACGAAAGATCTTCAATCACTTTTAGGAACACCAAAGTCATTTTACGCCCCTAAGATCGGACTTTGTTGGTGCCGCAGCAGCCAATCGCATGGTGGCGTATCTTCCGAAATGGATCGTTCATCTAGGCTGCTGGTATCCGTCCGCGTAAGAACGTGTCCAGCCCACCGCGTGGATGTGCGGATTGTTCTAGATCAATTGGAAGCTAGCGGTGAGCTTGTCACTTCCGGGCCATACCCCTCTTCCGATGCAATCTTCAGAGAGTTGGTCACTATTTTCGTAGATCAGGAGAAGTTACGATCAGGAGCTGTGTGCCAAAGGAACACCATCTCGGTCTTGTTCCATTGCGCAGCCTGTGCTTGAGATGAGGAATTATCTCGTTGATAGAATGACCCCCACGGGTCGAATGGTTGTCTCCTATCGCATATCCCCAACATCGTACCTCCCGAACTTATCGCACTTCGCTGTCCTAACCTTCCACCCCTTCTCCGTAAGCCCCTTTACAAACTTCTCCTGCTTCTCATCCGCCGTGATCAAATCTCCTATCGCCGTCTTCACCCCACTCAGCCTGACCAACTCCACTTTCAACCCTTCCTCAACAACTTCCCTTAACAGCTCAATCCGTCCAACAAAATCCTTCATCACCCCCTGATCAACAATCTCCATATCACACCACCTCGGCAGCACAAGCCTCAGCATCTCCAAATTCATACACTTTCCCAACGCGACACAAACATCCTTAACACTACTCTCATAATCCCATTCCTCAGGAACGTTGAAGGGAATCTGCTTCGCAAGTCTGACTCTCGCGCGCTTACTCACCGCCGGCCTAATCATCCCCCATCGCTGTTGCGCCCGCCCTTGCGCCGTGTGTCGAACCGGTAACGGCAGTGTGATACACTTGATGTACTGCCACGCATACTTTTCTCTTGAATTGAACATGAACGCACTTGTGAACATCCACGCACTCGCCACCATCCACCCATTCATACCACTGAAGCGCCACTCGTTCTCTCTGTAGAAGTAAAACGTAGCTTCATGTCTTACCTGCCTACTTACTCTCGGCAAATTCAGATTTACGCCGTGTTGCCGCATCTTGACTTTAAGGTACTGCATGTTGCGGTTCGCGGTCGTGATTTGGCGCGAGGCGATGGGGCTGTCGTTTTCGGGCCAGAGTTCTATGGGGAAGGGGAGGGTGAGTGCGGCGGCGTAGATCATGCAACGTAGTTCGACGGGAAGCTTCATGAGCCGGAATGGCTGGATGGGTTGGTTGGAGGAATGGGAGGGGGCTGGGTATCTTCGCTCGGCGTAGAGTTTGGGGTAGCGGGTGTAACGGCGGAGTTGGCGAGTCGTGTAAGGAGGTGGTAGCGTGTTAGTCGCAGACATCGTCTCGGTCGGAATCATGGTATGAGGGTGAGGGGCTCGCGAACGTTGGCGTAGTATAAGGCGGAGGACGTAGGGAGAGGATAGAAAACTTCAATAGGTATACGCGCTGGATCACAATGACGCTTTGCTGTTTTACATGGCGCATGAGACGTTCAGATGATCATTTGAGATTGTTTGACCGCTACCACATACATCAAACTATCTAACCTGGATGCCTAATCTTGTGTCTTCCACCACAGTGACATTAGTCCCAATACTCACCAGTTGTATCAGCTCCCTGTAGGAAGCACGCGAGCTTTGTAATTACTCCGCGCAAAGAAGGGTGGTAGGGAGCGCTCAAGTCGTACCAGAACATCTCATGGGTGCCGAAATCGTCTTCATCTTGGTAGGTGATAGTGGGTACGTAAGCCGCTATGTCCACCTCTTCCTGTTCGGTGAAATGGCTGATCCAGTCTTCGATGTCCTCTTCCATCTCTTCAAGGTCCTCGTCCGCCCTCTCGTACTTGATTGTAAACTTACTACCGTCATCCCGCTCATACTCGATGTCTTTGATAATACACTTGCCGTCCATGATAACGTCGGGACATGCTTCGTTACCGCGATCTGGATGTGAGTGAAGTACGTCGGCGAGAAAGACAAACATCTGTCGTTGAAGTCTGTACAGCATTCCCGTCTTGTATTGAAGGGGCAGGCCGCCATTGAACTGCTCAATCCACAGCTGCGAGTTCATAGGGAGTTCGAGTGTTGCCATGATAATGTTGGTGATCGAGATCCGGAGACATGAAAAGTCCTCTCGCTCCGGTAGCTCAAAGCGCATCTTCAGAGTAGGTGGAATATCAGGGCGCTCACAGAACTTATCAGGGAAGAATAGTCCACTAGCCGCACACCAAGCCTGCATCGATGCGAAATCATCAAACGAAGCCTGCGCGCTGCGTGACGTCATCTTTCCAACGACGTGTATGTGCTGCCACTGTTTGAGGGCAAGTCTTCGGAAGTGGCGATTGATCGAGAATAGCTCGGGTAGGCGGCGTGAGATTGTTCGGCTTTCAATGTCGTATGTAAGACAATGATGGTCGTTTGACTCCATAAGCATACCAAGGAGCTTCTGCTTGATCGAGGTCGAGTCAAGGGAGTTCTCAATACCGCGTACCCAGCCAGGGATGCGTTGCTTCCTCTTAAGTTGGTCGTTGCTGTCCACGTCGTATAGAAAGAATGGACGGATTTCATCATCGGGGCGTTGATGGCTAGACTTATTCAGGATGAACATGGCTTGTAGACCGTCGACCGTGACCTGAATGCTGTGAAGCGACCGGGGTGCTCGTAGATAGGGGCTCATTTCCGGACTACGCTGAGGCGTCAACAGTGTAATCATCGCATTGAGATTGGACTCGTTGATGGGGTATGGTCTTGCAAAGCATACGTGGCCATGTGAACGAAGCTGTCGTCCCGAGAACGCGTACGACACCTCGATCTTCGCGCGCTGTCGGCTGCCTTGGCTTGTGGGTATATCCTGATATCGCCAGATCATCATCATAATAGATTTCAGGTCGATCTTATTCCAGGTAGACTGACATAGTCCCGGGCAAAGAGGCTCGAGATCGATAACGACTTTGCGCACGTAATCGAGGTTGGAACCAAGACCCGCCATCCATCTGCTCAGGAGTCCTAGGGTCGAAGCGTCGAGCAAAGCGTCCATTTGCGTAGAGATCATGAAGGTGTTGTTCGAGAAAAGTATACTTCTGGCTTCATTGTAAAACTGGCGGCAGGTACTAAGCAACTCGATGTCTGGAATCGCGCAAACCATGACCGGCGCCGGTCCGACGTATGATGGTACCAGTAAGATGTGGCCCTCCTGCTTGAAGACGTTCCGATGAATCTTGTTGCGGAGCTCTCCGGGAAGTTGAAGCAGAGGCGAACCCGGCTGCGGAAGGAAGGGAGTAGCCATGGTTGATAGAGATGCTCGTGAACAAAGGCAAGTGTGACGGAACGACTGGGAAAGTTGTGCAGTCTGGTCGATCAAGATATCTTGGGGCTCATATAAATGAGGGGTATAAATGCATCGTGTGGCGGCGAAACATTCGTCCACAGTGGGCGGTACTGTACGCACGAGCGCGTTTGGGAAGTATTCATTGTCCCGCTGATACTTGTAGCGTAAACGAGGCCGTAGCTCCGACCGGGGAAAGCCGATATGTACGCCGGAGGACCACTATGCCTGTTCGCCGCATTGTACAGGCTGTTTGCGATGCTCCTCGAGCCTTCGCTGATACTCGGTAGTACTGCAGACCTCGTGGAGTTGATCACATCTTGTTGCTACACCGGGTCGTCGCTAACAGCGTCCACAGACTTACCGTACCGAAGACTCGAGAACCGACCTCGTCTGACCCACATCCCGATCGTCAACGAACGACTTCTACGGCGACTCATCCGTCTCCTCAACAACCTTGCTGTATAAATGCTGATGCGAAACATACGCTTCTGTCCCATCGGGCGGCAGGTACTCCGGACAGATACCAAACGCAATAGCGCCTTTCTGGTCGAGGTACCGCTTAAGGCGCAGGGCCTGGCCCAAAACGCGGGCTTGCTTGATGCCGAACTCGTGCTCGATGCGCGACATGTATTTTTGGACAAAGTCTTGGCTTTCAGGTGAGGCCATAGGCATGGCGGCGGCCTAGAACGGTGATTGTTAGTAGCAAGAACATACCGCTGACGATGAGATGACGTACCACGTAAAGCGCCCATACAGTACTGTATCCTCCCGCGACGCGTACGATAGGAAGCCGGTCCTTTACAGATCCGTTCCCCAGAAGAGCTTTGACGAGCCCGTATGTGTTGCCTCGGAAGTTGCCATCGAGAGATTTGAGGGCTATACGGTATGGGCTTGTTGGGGCAGCGGATGCCGTCCATGGTGCGCCTCGTCCCGACGTGCGCGGTTCGTCGTAATCGTCATCGGGTGGGGTCGTCGCCCTGCTCGGCGCAGAATCGGGAACATCGTGCATGAATTGGGGCATGCTTGCTATGATATCAGACTGCAACTGATACAACATGCGAGCGCTTTTCGCTAGCTGCTCGTGGTATCTGTTGCCAGCAAGCGTCGGTGGACTAGTTGCGAACCCTGCCAGGATGCAGTTCCGGATAATGTCGTGGAAGTAGATTCTGTTGTAGCGCACCCAGTTCCAGGTCTGGGCTGCTGTCGCAGTCGGGTAGACGTGGTAGAAGTTCTCAAAGATACGTTCACTCTTCCCGCAATGCACCACGTCGTACTCCCAGTCCGCTCCTTGATCCTTGAAAATGTTGACAGCGATGTCTTCGAGTTCAAGTGCCGATTCTATAATGTCCGGCAACGAGAACGCTGACTGGTTCAGGATCCGCGCTCTCAGGTCGATGGTCTTGATGTGAAGGAAGAAGAACCGGTTTCGTGGGTCGTGTGTATCCAAATGCTGGATGACTTCGCTGTTCAGATCGTGGACATATTGAGGAAGGGGAATGCCCTTTCCCATGCAGTTCATGGTGAGTAGACCAATAGTGTGGAGGTACATGCGTTGTCCCGCGGGAGTGGAGAATTGGTCCATGCCTCTTAGTCTGATGAGAGATGCAGCACCATCGACGTGGTTACTCCATCCAGCCAGAGAGGTGTCGTTGAACGTTGCTTCGAACATACTGAGCAGATTGACAGCGGTGAGAGTGCTATCGGCCTTGACATGTTCAGGCGAAGAGATCGCCTTGTTGGCCATCTTAATAGCCTCAAGGTACCAGCGTGTCGCTTCGGCTTTCAGACGAGGGTCCATGTAGAGGTTGGCTACACCAGCGATGCCCAGCGCTGTCATGGTCGTAGAGACAAGCGGATGGAAACCATGCGTAGAAAGATGCTGCTGGTACTCGACTGACTGTATGGATGGCTGGTCCACTCCTGTGCAATAGTACGACATGAAGAAACTGATGCCTTGATCGATGAGCGACGCTGTTATGGCCGTCCCCGGACATTGTTTCGCCATGATCTGGAGATAGGCCTCGCGTACATCTCTGATATCTCGAGCATCACGTGCGGCGATGGCTTTTGCGTTCGATATCTTTGCTTTTGTCTGCACATGTTTGGTCTCGTCGTGGAAGAAGGCGCCGACGGTTCGATCGTATCCCGGGCATTTGAAGTTGCGTTCGGCACACTTGATACAGCCCTCTGGCCGTTCATCGCACTACATCTAGTCAGCGGCTCGAGTCAGGAAGTCGGACTGAATGCCCGGTGCGAATGGTGCTGTATCTGCGGATAGCCTCTCGCACAGCATACCGCGTTGGGAAGAAGCTAGTCGCGGGTTGCGGCGCCCAACGCGAACACCACGCACTGCATGCCCTTGTCGGAAAAACGTGCCAGGTTACATGATTACATATAAGAGAGCTGGACGTACCTTGATCTTTCTCTCGCGACACTTCTTGCACCCTGTTGACGGTCTCCCGCGATACACCATGCTGGACTAGTGTTATCGCATCAAGGGTACGGTAGACGGCGGTAGACGAGGGTTTCAGGCGATTAGCAGCCACCGCTGATGTAAAGATTAGGTAGAAGTATTAGAAGTTAGAAGTGATTTTCCCTGCGATGTACTGATGACGAAAGGATAGACGGCGACTTTTGCTCAGGTGAAATTGCGCTTGGCTGGTCACGATAGACGTCGACGCGTGTTTCTGACTGCAAACCAAGACGACCATTCCGACCGTACTGACGCATGTCGTGTTGTAACGGCCGAGCTTATGGCGGGACGTTGGCGTTCCGACGGACTCAATGACCAAGGCAACGGGTTTCTCAGCATGCAGAAGGGCGGTGATGAGACGGAACGCCTAGCGCTAGCGCGCACGTTTCCTGTCGCGCGTTACCTTGTCGAGGAAGCTGGACGATTGGCTCGTCGTTCTTTCTGCATCTGACTTGATGCCACGCCGGGTGGCCGGCCATGAACTTCAACTCGAAATTTGTGACGTTGTGTCGTTGAATTGCTGAAGACGTGAGATGAACTGGTGTTCTCAGGTGTACAGGTGTGACGTCCGTGCAGAATTTGATTGCAGGGCAAACTCAACGAACACGAGTTCCTCGTGCGGCTAGTCTGGCGAGATCCGATCGGCGAGTGATGACACTTGATAATCGATGTGAGCAGTTCGTGAACAGATCGTGAACGACGTGATCTAGAACGTCCAAAGCAGATTGCACGTATTTTGAGTTTGCTGGCTCAGATGGAACGGGAAGTTTGAAAACGTCCAAACTTTGTTTGGGCCAGGCTATACAGGTTTCGCCGTGCCATGGAACCTTCCAAGGGATGAACTAGGATCCGGCAGTACTCGGCTGGGGAGGGTTGAGCTAGAGGCGCTCAGTCCCAGGTGCATAAACTAGCCACCTCGCCCGTACACGGCCGCCTTCTTGATTATCACTCTGGCTACCTGGTATATATACCGTTAACATTGTCTTCTCTTCATCAACCAATAAAACAGGGGCGTTGTGGCGGAGTGGTTATCGCGCAAGACTAGAAATCTTGTTCCTTCGGGAGCGTCAGTTCGAATCTGGCCAACGTCGTTCTTTTTGGCCGTGTGGACGTCCTGATAGATCCATGGATGTTCAATCAGCCTCAGCTATGCTTATGCTGAAGTGGAAGCATTCTTTTTGCTAACCCTGGTGGTGGACCTCTTCCCAAAAACCAAGGAAGTATCAACGCGAGAGGATCAACAACACCAGAAGAACAATAGGGACATAGATCCGGGATAGCATCGAAGACAGGCTTTGAGCAGGTTCAATACGACTAATACTAACGGCAACACCACAAAATCAAACTGGCCTACAGGGAGTGGGTTCATAGTAAGGATGCATTCTCAACACCACGAGCTTACTGTGTGTGGCTAGGAACATTGATGACATTGGTCGTGTTTCGTAACCTCCATCTTCCAGCATCGCACCCAACCGCTGGGTCAACGAATAACATCAAACCGTCATAAAACACATCACCACCATGCCTAGATGCCCTTTGCCTCCGCATACCCATATCACACTCCGCCCCTCCACTCAGTCCTGGCCATCACAAACCCCAGCATGACAATACTTCTTGCACCCCACCTCATATTTCCACTTTCCGGACTTATCGCCCAATCCCTTCTGTATCCAATACCCATACCGCGCATACTCTCCCGCATCCCCTCTTTCCTCATCTCCAACTTGACGTTCCTTCTCCCTTCCTTCATCGTCATCACCCTCTTTGCCACCATCGCTCTTGCTTCCGCCATGCTCTTTCATTTCTCCCCAAACGCCATTTCCACACTGATAAACACAGGTACAATACTCGGATCCATCATCTTGCTTTACGCATAAGGAGCGATCACCGGTTTGCTCGGCGTACCAGGTGCCGAGTTTGGCGATGGGGATTTCTGGGGTGGTAGTGTTAGAATTGGATGTGGGTGTAGGAGTTGAGATCGACATACGATGGTGTTGCATGAGTTCCCAACCACAGTACTTTGTGGCATTTCCTTCTCTCCTCAAGTTCGATGCGGAAGGTGACATCCATGTTGGTGATGAAACAACGCTCGCGACGAGCATGGCGATCAGCACAAGTATGATATTGCTGCGGCGACCTCCCGAAATCCCCGTTCCGACCATGGTATTGACGCGCCAGGAATGACGACGGCTATCTTTCGGCGGTATGTAGGTGGCGAATCTCCTCTTCGAGGAATCTTGCAGGAGGAAGATCGGAATGTCAGGAAATTACAGTAATGTTGAATTACTTTTGACTTTGGCATCAACGCTCGTGGTACCGTACACGTGGCTAGCCGCAGACCGTGCCTCGAAGCTACAGCAGACAGAGTGTTTGTGCGTTGACGCGCTATGGCGTTGGTGATACAAACGTCATGTCAAATGTCACAATCAAAACAATCGCGATCGTCACACAAACACGGCAAAGACGGCCAACACCAAAGTTTATCGTGACCTCGTTGATAATTCGTAAGATAAGCAAAACGCCTCGCTATGCAGTATGGGTATCGAGTGTGAATAACAAACGCCGGAAGGAAACTAGACCCAAGCCAAACTCCAGAGCGCGGGCATGTTGGGCCAGCGCTCTTGCCAGGTAGCGAGTATATCCGGGACGCGCTCGTCAAAGCCCGATCGAGCAGCTCCGCCACCGGATTGCCACCCGCTATCGCCATGCTGTTCTCTCTCCTTGGCGGCGGCCTCGTTCAGGCTGAGCGCAAGGTCGAGGATAGCTTTGCCGCCAACGAGAGCTTCTTCGTGGTTATCCCTGATATCGACGTTGAAGACGTGGACAGGGCGATTGAGCTTTCCGCCCTTGTTGTGAAGGTCTTCCAGCACAGCATCGAAGCAGCGCTCCTCGCACGTTATGACGACGTCGACGACACCAGACTCGGTACCCTGGGAGCCTTTGTCTTCGGCGTGATCCAGACGTGGCTTGCCAGGCACCCAGTCTTGGAAGCGCTCAGGGTAGCCTTTGATGTTCAAGTTGCGACCGAGCATGTTAAGCAGGCCGTTGTGGGTGTAGAGCGCAGTGTTCTGACCGGCAAGCTCATCGTGGATGGCGCGGTAGGTAGTGCTGTTGAAGTTGTAGACGTTGGGCTGGGTGATGGTCGGACCGGGTAGTCGGACGAGAGAGCCAGTGCCAAAGCTAATGGTAGGGAGATGGGCTGAGGCAAGCTGAAGATGAGCTTCCATGGAGCTAGTCAAGTTAGCGATATGATTGGCCTGCGGATCAGCGAATGACATACCGGTTCTGGTTACTCGCACACACAGTGCAGAACTTGAGCTTGAAGCTATCGTCGGGTACCATATTCTGTTCTGCGTGCGCGTCGCTGGCGCCGTTCATGCCCATGGAAGCGGGCTCAGCTGGCGGCGGCGGGGGTGGTGGAGGTGCGGCGGCGGCAGCCTGCTGCCTCGCGCGCAATCGTGGGTCGGCAGGGGCGTCCATATTCGGCGGGGTCAGGTCGTGGTGCGGGAGGTGTGATGGGACGGTGCGGAACGTGTGATGGGACAGGTGCTGGCGCGTCTGCGGGCAGCTCTGCAATTTCTTCACAAACGTTAGTTATGGTTCCACGCAATTATAGACAGCAATCATAACAAGGTTCACGAGAGATCAGAATTTTCAGCGTTAATTGTGAGTCCTCAACGACATCCGAGGTAATTCCTGCGAATTGCCTAGGACAGCTCCAATATGGGTTCATCATCTCAAGGGCACGCGCACTGGGGCGGAAGGTAGTTGGTACTTACAGTAACAGAGGCAACTACTCAAGCTCATAGTCTCTTGCATAGAGAGACGCGTATGAGTAAGTGGTAGAAGTGGTGGTGGTTGTTGGCAAGGCACGAGGCCTGTGAGGTTGAATCTTTGTCAAGCTCGAAGCTCAGGTCATAGTCTGCTTAGCGGCTGACTAAGCTCGGCTGAAAGATTACGCGGGGCGCCGAACACCTGGGCACCTCGAAATGGAGGGGCTGGTCGCGATGCTTCATGTCGGGAATCTTGGAACAGCTCTTACGGAGTCTTGCCTGTTCCTGAAGCGCTTGGACATAGCATATCTCGTATAGGGAGATCGCCTTCATTAAAAGCGATCGCGGGTGACGTGATGCAATTGCGCAAGCATACTGTATACCCAAACGGGACGCCTAGGTAACCCGGCTCAAACGCACCTGTCACACAGCGCCTTGGTCTGGGGAATGCGGTCGGGAGAGGACCATGACATGGCGAAAGGAATGATATCCGAGTCGACTATGATGTGTTTGCCCTCGTGACAGGACGCGGTGAAGACGGCCCAAGGAAGATGCTCGCGGGCCTGGCAGCGCATTCGACCAGCGGTGCGCGCGCAGTCCCCATGCAGCTAGGCGATGACCTGAAACGCCTACTAAGGTGAAAGTAGCCTAAGCATGCATTGATGGGGTTTGCAATCATGGAAAGGAAGAGCCGTCAGAACACACACACCCCTCGTTGATGCCAGCAAGGCTGTCTCGAGGCCTCTTGACTCGCTACTTTTGCTTGATATCGACAATCGCACAAATACATTTCCATGCCCTGCCCACCGGCGGCGCTGTCAAGTATCCTGAAACACTTTGGCATCTAGCACTCCCCGCCGCCTGGTGCCAAAAATAGAGTTGGCCATCACCACCACGCGCGCGCTGGTCTACACAGCATCCAGAACCCGCCAGCGGCCTCGCCATAGTCGCGTCGCCCCTTAGCCGCACTGTTGCCGTTCCCCTCCTGCACGGTACCCTCGAAGCCACCACGTTGGCCCTCGGGTGCGCACCTCATCAACCGTTCACTGGGCGAGTGTTAGCGCCAGGCCTGACCCCCACAACCCCCAGCGAGCGCTTCTCCAGCCGCTCTACAGTGGAAATATCTTCACGCCCGCCGCGCACCTCCCAATCGCCAGGCGCATCTGCACAGCCGACGTGCTGCTTCCAGAAGGCCTGAAGCGCGCCGCCGGCCCATTGGTCACTGTC